TTCTGAACTATAGCCATTTTTATCTGAACTATAGCTATTTTTGTCTGAACTATAGCTATTTTTGTCTGAACTATAGTTAGTTTTGTCTGAACTATAGCGACTTCTATTCTGAACTATAGCTAGTTTTGTCTGAACTATAGCTATTTTTGTCTCAACTATAGCCATTTTTATCTGAACTATAGCCATTTTTATCTGAACTATAGCTATTTATGTCTGAACTATAGCCATTCTTTTCTGAACTATAGATATTTTTGTCTGAAATATAGCTAGTTTTATCTGAACTATAGCTAGCTTTATCTGAACTATAGCTGAACTATAGCTGAACTATAGCTGAACTATAGCTGAACTATAGCTGAACTATAGCTAAACTATAGCTAAACTATAGCTGTCACAAACTTAATGAAACTCTCGAAAAATGTAAAAGAAAGAAACATTTTCATTGCCCTCTTGCAAACATATTTTAAACTTTATATAACTTTTTACTAACTTTTTGTAACTGTTTATAACTTTTTATAGCTTTTTATAACTTTTGTTAACTTTCAGATAACTTATGATAACTTTTCCTACATACTTATGTTAAGTCTGTTAACATAGTTATAAAAAGAAAACATGCAGTTAAGATACTTACGATAAGTTCATTAGCCATTTATATTTTACCTAAACATTTACAACTTCTCGTAGCCGGCTAGCTAAACTTACAAATTACTTATCAAATGTTATGACACTTTACATACTTGCAAGCAGGTTATAGACATGTTATAGAAGGTTTATATACATGTTGTAACTCGTCTAATTCTGTAAACTCATATAACTTCCAGCGTACAGTCTTCGCACATGCGAGATGGAAAAAAAGGTTCTTGAAACTTTTCCTCTCGGAAGAATTTAGAGTGATAATTGGTTGAACCGAGATCTAAAGGTGCACGTTTCAAAGGAGGAGTGCGATTGTTTTGGCATAACACTCATGTCAGTCACCCATGAAAATCATGGGATGACACACACAAATCGAGAGTGTAGGACCTGCTTCGTGTCACGTCACATGCCACGTGAGATTTGTTTACATTGAGGCCCAGAGGTTCAAAACAAGTGCGGCAGTGATAGGTTTCGCACCCAACCTTTGCAGATTTCCGATCACAAATGATGACATTTCAACGGGATGCTGCGTTTTTTGATGTTTTTTCGTCGTTTGTGGCGATGCCGATGCCGTTGTTTTGTTCACTACGTACGGTACCGAATGGAATGATCGTACATATAACAACAAACCATTTACGCAATGTGACAATTTTTGGATCTGGTTCCATGTATGTAATGCCATCGAAATCAGATGTATTACTGATTGTAAAATGTTGGGTGATCTGTGGGGGGACACGGAATCCGTTCTTTCCTTCGGACTTGGCCAATGACTTGTATGTTTGCGTCTAATTTGCGCCATTGATTTCTCATTTTTTCCTCCCACGCAGTCAGTAAAATCGAGTGCATGTGTTTTTGGCTCAAGTTCGATTTTGTTGTATGTCGAAAATGGAAAAAATGAAGGTGGTTCTTTTTGACCGATATGAACAATTTTTTTCTTCGATGTTTCGGCGTTCAATTTTGTGGTGCGTAGCAAATGTTCACTGCATTTTTTTAAATTCAATTTACCGGCCCAAACAACCAACGAATCATATAGATGCTGCGTGCGTTCCATTTCTTCCCACAGGATCGAGTGCAGGTCGGGGCAATGTGTAAAGGTTGCGACACACTGAAACATGTTGTTGCACTTGAATTTTGGTCATTTCCTTGACCAGTGATCTTGTTATTTTTTCTTTCTCAGGTGTATAGTGCTTTCGTTGCGAGTGTTTACCTTTGTCAGGCCATGCTATGAGATGGCGGTCGAGCTCACCCCAGTGGGGCTGGGTGTTTCAGTAGGCACAAAATTTCGTGTGTTTGTTACAATTTGGAAAAAAACATTCTGCACATATTTGCGCCATCTGGAAATGACATTTGGTACTTTATTGTTTGCGCAGTTTTTGAATCTTTGGCCTCAATATTTGACCATTTTCGTTCCTGGAAGGCCAACTCCGAACTGGTGAGTCTTTTGGTCAGGACTGCACTGTTCACATACGTTTTGAAACTCTCCATCTCAATGCTCTGCTTGTTCTGCTTGGTTCATCTCAACCTGCGGAAGGAACCACAAAGAGTGTGCCGAGACCATGAGGGCAACGTCAACCTGACGATCGGAATCGGAAACATGGCCCGTGCAGGGCATGAGGCGGACATCAAGCGGGACGTACATTGGCTGTGGCTAGCCCGCATGAAAACACACATGATACGCCGTTGGCAAGAAGGATTTGTGGTAGTGGTCGCAGAAAAAACAACTCCGTTCTCAGTGAAACTTCTTAATTTAGTTGAATCAAACCGACTTGAGTGTGAAAACGAAAATCTGGATGTTGGACATGGGTGAACATTTGAGTGAAGTACAGGAGACAATGGTCTCACTGTGGGGCCTTTTCATTTTTTTCTCTGAGAAGGGGCAGGAAAGTTGGATGCCGCAAGGCCTGATCGAGGCTGGAAGATGACTTGGTCCATTGGTAGAGTCTGGTATATAGAGTTTCCAAGGCTTGTGACTCGGGTTGATGGTAGCTTCGAGCTTCAGCCTGTTTCAGTCGGGGGCTCAATTTCTGGAGGCCACGACCGGCGGCATAAGCCACATAGGCAGCAGATGTCAACATGATGGCTGACTCAATATTGCTGCAATATGTACAAACCTACCAAACCTACACTGAGATTCGGATGGGCTGATTTTGACAGGGGCGCAAAATTGACAGAGTATGCTGGTTTTTCTTCCGGCACAAGCGCTCAGGCCTGGTACGCTTTTGACAGGTCGGCACCAGACATACCAGTCCATGACGAAGAGGAAGAATACAATGATGTCTATCTCAGTAGCAACTTTGCTGCAGCGTAACATTCATCAAACGCAATTCATTGACGGAAAAATACACTCCAACATGCATTGGCCTTGTCAGCAAGATTTATTTTTTCTAAACGTGGGTGGATTTCGGAATTTTCACATGGAGCTGCCACAAATGTAGACACTTGAGACATGCATCAGAGTGCGAATTCTTCCCAGGAAAGAAGAGGAGAGTGTCGCAATTCGGCTTAGTACACTCTTGAGGTAGTGGAGCATAGTGGAGCATCAACATGAAGATATCAGTTTGTTGGGGAGAAACATGAAGTTGACGCTTTTGTCATCGGCCCGTGGTCAAACAGCAGGGCACCACCCGCTATGTTGTGAGGACTTGATAGCTTCAGACTAGTCTACAGTTTTTTGCGGCTCATTGTTGTTGATGGTGAAAAGTAGTAGTTCTTTGCCTGTATTTTGGCTGTTTCCAAGGCTTGGCTGCATGGGAGAGGAGGGTATCAAGAATGATGTGCTCCTTCGACGCCAGCTGCAACGTCGCTGGGGTGGCATGCTTGAACGCAGAGCCGTTCGAACAGGACGGTGTGTGGATAGTGCAGGCGGGCTGACCTTGCCATGAGTTTGTGGGTTGTGTTCGGAAGAGCCACACTCCCCTTTTGCATCTGCAAATCGCAGGCCAAAGCAAAATCCGCTCCCAGATCCAAGACGACTACAGATACGCTGGTGCTGGTCTTGCCCCAGAGGCCTGAAATGACAGGTAAAGACAGGTACAGGCCTCGCAACAACAGTTTGGGAACTTTGCAATATCCAGCACTGCCCCAACATTGCCAGCGCTTTGTTGTCAAACTGGTAGACGTGTAGAGACGCCATTGCATGGCAGGTTCTCAGCATGCTGAAGACCATCAAAGGGGTCGATGCAATGCAGCTTCAGCGAAAAACAATCAAGTCATATCAATTTACGTGCTGTCATGTGCAGTCTTGTCCTGCAGCATCGGTCACTACTTGAGACTTCCAAAACTAGTCGCCGCGACCATCACGGCACCATCACGAGATGCTGTCCAGGCAATGCATCCGAGAGCTGGAAGCTTTGGAAGCTCTGCCTTGGCACAAGAACCTTGGCTGAAGTGACCTGGTACCTGGTATCTGGTAGTAGTGGAAGTTTGAAGCCATCTAGTCAACAGTTGTGTTGGCATTTGAAGCCTTCTCAGCACCCCAAGCCTCTTGGGTGTTTCAAAAGAAGAATTGGAGCGAACAAACAGAAGCAACGTGTGAAGATATGCTTAGCAAAGGAGGACACAGCTGTACAATGAGCTGCAGCAGCATCCTGAACAGCTTCAAGAGGCAGTAGCAGCTCTAGACTCAACAGATGGTAGCAACTTGGAGTGTTGAGAGTAGTGATCAGTCGCGGGAGATGAGAAATTGAGATTGGCAATCAAGTCGCAACAAAGCTTAGTCGAGAGGCTACAGGGAATTGATGGGAATTGCAAGTTTTCAAAGAGAGCAATGGAAACAGATCCGGTACACTGAATCAGACCAGGCTCGTCCCGCAACAGACTCTGTGATACTGTGATAAAGGACACCTTGTGAGAAAAAAAACATAGAAAACCGAGACGCCTCTTCGCTGAGGCATTTTGTCTGGTTTGCACGACAGCCGTCGGGCAGAGGTCCGCAAGAGGAAGGCAAGGCAGAAGAGACTCAAAGAGCCTCGGCAACAAAACTAGGAAGTTCTCCCTCCTCTCTTCTCCTGCTGGAAGGTTGTTATCTATCTCCTATCTACATGTCTTCATTTAAATTAAATGTACATTTAACAATTTAACATAATTTAACGTATGAATAATAAACAAGAATTATTTTGTTCTACTAAATTACATATAGTTCTGCGACTATCACTTGTGACAGAGTCTTATTTCAAATGTGAAGTGCATGTAGCAGCTTCAAACGAATCGTAACATTTCTTGTCAAGTGGAGGGCGGGAGGGCCCACTTCGAAATTTGATCGTTCAATGCAATGGGTTTCCATGCTGTTGCTGATCTGGACGACTATAGCCTTGTTGAGCTAATTGATTTGCTGGAATGGGTTGCTGCGCTTATCAGGCAGAGATTGACATTCACCGGGTCGGCAAGCCGTGCTGAATCTGTTGCGAGTTGCAGCGTGGTCCCAGCTGCCTCTTCTTCAGGACAGCAGACATCTGGTGCCGCTGGATCCTCAAGAGCTCCTGGATTGAAGTCGCCATTTGAGTGCCAGTATCATTGCAAATATTGTTTTGAGCAGTGCTGTTGCCCTGTTGATGCCCATAAGAACCATGCATGCTTGGAGCACCGACACCGGCGATGAATCTGGCTGTGATGGCATGGAGTCCGAAACAGGGGCTCGCGGTTTGAGGGCTCGTTGGAGAAAGCGCAGTGCAGACGTTTTATCTGGCATGCAATCCGAAGTGGGTGCAAACTCTGACAATTTGAATCAGATGGCTGTTTTTGATGAGTCAGAGATGCAGTGCAAGTCCTTGCGCAAGGCTGGTGATTTTGAGATACAGGATGTCGCTGGAGATGAACTTTTGGCTGAAGTTCCCAGCTCTTCTGGACAATCTGGAACTCTCAGTCATCACATTCAGCGACAAGCTATTGCGAACACAGATATGAGTGTCTTCAAATTTCCTTGGGAGAAAGGAAGGCTGGCCAAGATCTTCACTGACCAGCCCATAGTGAAGATGCGTGTTCCGAAGTTGCAGCCGGGCAGAAGATTATCAGTCATTATGCAACAAAAAACAATACTCATCAATAATGAACTCAATGGTTACCATGCTGGTATTCAAGTACATTTCCAGCACCCATTGTATATGATTCTTTCTTGATGGTTACCATAGGTGTTAATCGTTATTACTTACTTATTAATCATTCACTAACCATTAATCATCATTTTTAATGACTATTAATGATTATCTTCGATTATTAACCATTAGTTTGTTCATCATTTATAATCATATGCCACTAACTATTAATCCCATCACCCTATTATTAAACACCCCAATTGCATGGTCCCAATGCAATGTGGAAATTCCGTTTCCTTCACCATGGTTTCGTTTCGGGTGTGTCTAACATTAGGGGACGGGACTAGTTTTGTGAGTTTCTCCAGAAAAATGATGATGTTTACCGGTTACCGTATTTGATCTTTAGAAAATGATGGGAACATGTTAGGGGTAAGGGTTTTTTTTTCATTTATAATCAACTAATCATTAGCCACTCCATTATTTATAGTCATTAATCCACTAATAATCTTATTATTAATCATTAATTAGCCACTAGTGATAGTGATTACAATCATTAGCCACTCCATTTTGATGGGAAATATTAGCCATTCCATTATTTCTAATCATATTCCAACTAATAGTCCACTAATCATTGCTAACAATCATTAATCCACTAATAATTTTATTATTAATCATTAATAATTATCATAATCCACTAATCATTATTGATCATTAATCACTGATCTACTAGTTGATCATTAGCCGCGAATTATTACTCAATGAATTAGCCACATTATGGAATGATGAATCAACTAATTGATTAATAATGGATAATGATCTAGTTATAATTTATTAATCATTTACAGTTATTAACTAGATCAATAAATTATCACTGGGGTTTATGATCAAATGAGAAATCATAATTAACTTAATGATCATTATCCATTATTAATTATTAATTATCATTATCAATTAACTTATATGATCTAGTTATCCATTATTAATCAACCAGTTACTCAACGAATGATCAAATCCCAAGAACTCACCAAAACTCGGCACCGAGGCACCGCCAGAATCATGAGCTGCATCTCCGCCGAGCTCCAGTCATGGCTCAGCCAGCCGTGGACGTCCTGACGAAGCAGCTGGTGAGGGCCAATGATGCCTCCAACAACGGGCAAAATACGAGTTTTATATCGGAGTAATGTGATTTCACCATGAAAATAACGATGAATTCTATGAGAAACTGGAGATGATCTAATTATAGATTATTATAATCAAAGTGTTTTTTTTATGATGGAGATTTCTATAGTAGAAGTGATTTTAATTATCTGGGATGTTTCTCGGACCACTTCTCCACTTCTACTTGGAGGCTCATTCCAATCAGGAACTGGTTAGTACGCCTAGCAAGTTGCCTGTAGTACTTGCTAAATATAATATATTATCTCAGACATACAACTAAAACGCTGTTTTTTTCAATTACAACCCGTCGACGATGACTCCTCAACAAACAAACCCGACAGCCCAAAAAACGGCCTGTGTGTAGCTTCCGAGTGATGTGAAGACCTGGCGACTGGCGCGGATTATCTCATTAGATGGGGATGTCTGACAGAGGCCCCGACAAATAATATAGGGGTTGGCCCTTATAAGTGGCCCTTTAAGTGGCTTAACTATGGTTTATTGTAGATATAACTATAGTTGATGAGGGTTATAAATCAACTTATAACTGAGGGGGGCCCATCTTGTAGTAAATAACCATATGTATGTTTCCATAAATGGGGGTACCCCAATAGCTGGATGGTTTGTTGGAAAATCTGAAAATAATATTGATGATTTAGGGATACCCCTATTTCAGAAAACCCCCGTATAGTACATTCCTTTCAAAATAGCCTCGCCGAGCAGGAGGTGGTTAGGAGCCTTTCTGAAGTACCCAATATGGGTTATCCCTTTTTAAAACTTGGTAAGGGGATATGCCCCCAAAATCTGGCTTTGCCTGGTACAGTATTTTGACTTTAGGGTCCTGCAATTCCTATTGATTTCATTTCCGGCTACAACCTATTCCTGATTTTTTGCCGTGGATTCTGCAAATACTTGCCGTTCTTGGAGGAGTGAGCACTTCTAACAGAAATACACACTGCCATGAAATGTGGTTTCAGTCATCCAGAAGACCCAAGCTTGGATGACTTGGGATGTCGGTCTGAACATAGGGATACCAATAAGATTGCATTCATATATGATTTATGATGATTTACTTGATAACAAATTGTGATTTCCCATTTCCCTATGTTAAATCACCATTTCGGGTATCACCCGAAATGGATAAACAATCCGCTGGCTGCCTCGGCGAGTAGAAATAGCCAAAAGCTGCAGCCCAAACGCCTTAAGCCTGGCGGATCCCAGGTATCTCTACAATCTGAGCCCGCGTTCGGAATCGCGTTCAGTTGGTGCATAGCTAAGTCCAATTTCACTATGGTTGATTAGGTAGATATATTGACATACTATTCCTATGATTTATAAACCAACGTTCACATAACTGGGGGGGTACCACCTTGTAGTAAATTACCAAATGGATGTTTCCCAAAATAGGGATATGATGGTATAGCTCTATCATTATAGATAATCAATGGCTATACAATGGGGATTTCCCAACATGACCCCTTTATCGCTGGATGGTTTTGACTTCATGGAAAATCCGAAAATCAAAGCTGGATGATAACTGGGGGTACCCCTATGACTCAGGAAATCTCCATATGACTACTATTTGGTATACCATAGTGTATCTCTAAAGCCAATGAACATATTGGATCGGATACACCTCATGATTAGAGATACTTGACCTATCATAATGATGATTAAAGATCATTTATTCCAAATCATGTATCCCTATTGAATAACACTATTCAGTATATCATAGTGTATGCCAAGAAGCCAATGAAACTGATGCATCCCTATTACCAGAATTCGAGGTGTACCAGATTTTCAAGCACATCCAGGAGACGGAGGACCAACAGTCTGCGAGTGGAGTGCAAGGAGTGATTTGTATGGAATGGATTACCGTTTGATAATACATAACACATCATAATACATCATATACATCATAATACATCATAATACATCGTAATACAATATCGTAGAGTAATTCTAGAGCAAAACAAAGAACTTCTAATGACTTTTGGATGTTCATTTTTCCCCAATATGGGTTTAACATGTTGCAATTCCAATCTCGCCAAGACCAATTGAAGTAAGGCACGGGTGTCACAGTCAGCCAATGGGGCATGGAAACCTAATATGGCAATCAAGCTGGTACCCCCCTCAGTTATAAGTTGGTTTGTAAACCATGGTAAGTACGTATAGATATATCTACCATAAACCATAGGAGCTATTAACCAACTTAGCTAACTATGGGGCACCACCTTGTATGACCAGCAATGTGGTGATGTCAATAGATTATATCTGGCTGTAGCTTGTTACCTGACAGCTGGACCGTGCTTTTGGGGAGCTGAGAATGAGGTGGCGATACCGCACAATCTGCCAGCACCATCTTGAAACCTTAATATCCTTATTGATTGCATCTAGCAGCTGGGGTACCCTCCTACATCCAAGAATGTTGTGGCTATAAATCAGTTGCTAGCTGCTACTGTATCTAAGTACGCCTAGGAAATTGTCCCTAGGAAATTCACAATAATTCACAATCAAATAATAGTAATATATATAATATGATAAAATATAATAACACAACCCTAATAATAAGGCAAGGCTCAGTGACTCCCAATGTATCCAGTTGCGAGACAAAGCAGTTGGTGGATCAGTCAACCCTGAGGTATCCAAGAATTAAGGTGGTTCTAGGAGATTCATCCCAAGCCTATGCTTTATTGGTTTTTGAAAGAATGATACAGTATGTACATGTGTAACATGAAACATGTACATACATGTACCATGTATGTACCACATTTTTGTTCAACGCGAGTTCGTCCAAAATTACTCACCAGGCTACGGTTTGTCGAGGCTCCCAGCCTGTGCTTGGCAAGACGTGCGTGGCGTAGCAGTAGGGCGCCTCGCGTCACGGGATGATTGGAATGTTCGAAAACGGGTGTGGAGAAACGTCCGACAAAAACCTATGCAAATTGTAAAATATTGTATTATACATTGGTATAACATAGAACATCATAGAACATCATAGAACATCAACATTCAATAAAGTTTACAACTGTCGAAATAATCTGAAACAGAAATCACCCTTTCTTATCTTTCTTTGGGAATTTGATCTGTGAAGTGAGGTGTTCAACCATTTCAAAACAGGTCATGGGTACTATTTATGCCTATGTGATCTGCGCTATATTTGCTATGAGGCTATCATTCGCCCAAAAATCACATCACCCGAAGAGAAAAGCCTCCCTATAGAGATCCAATAAATTTAAGGAAGCTCTTGGGCTGAAATAACGTATTGTTTGGAGAAGGAAACATTGAACCCGTTGAAGATCTTCCACTATGGGTCCTTGTGTGGTTATTACTTGTTTCTTGCCAAACAACTGTTGAACCTCCATTCAGTTGGTCAGGTGATGTTTCAGAGAACCAAACAAGACCTAGGAAACCTCTCCGCGAAGTGGTTGAACACATCCCATCATCTCATAGTGACATCATGAACAGGATATATATATATATTGATGTCCGAAAAAACTCCCACAAGAAAATGAATACTTTCCTCCAACTGGCGGAACATCTCCGGTTTCCCCCGGCTCTAGCCATAACTTGTTGGGCCCAGCTTCCCCATCCGTCCATCCGCCCATCCGCCTTGAAGAGAAGTACCAAGGCTGTGAAGGAGATCACGAAGAGAAGCTGCGAAGCGGCGAAGAAGCCACGCGAAGAGGGGTATGACATGGATGAAAAAAGGGGATCTAATGGGATTTAAAGAACCTAATAGAACATTATAGGATATAGAGTGATATAGATATATGATATATCATGATATATCTAGTGGGATTTAATAAAATCTAATGGGATACAGAACATGAAATCATCTATATAATACGATCTAATAGATATATCTATTGGGATTAATGTAAAGAAATAACATATAACATATGCGGTATACATTTAAATAAGGATTTTAAAATATACAAACAGGTATTCTAGACTACCTCCGGGAAGATTTTCCTTGGCCCGCCCGGCCATTAAAACATACGGAATACAATTCATTTGAACATACGGCAACTACATTTAAATATACGAACTGGTATTTTATACTACCTCCTGGGCCTCGCGGTCTGGCCCGCCCTCCACATATTTAAAATAAATGTCGATACCGTATATATAACATCAGCAAAACGACATGTTGGGTTTGCAGGGGAGATGATGGTAAACCAGCACAATGATATTTTCAGTGTGTCTCAAATGGTGGATTCACCGTTCCATTTATGGCAATGTCCGCAGGGGAGATGGCAAACCCATGGTGATTTTCAGGTTTCAGGCTTTTAAACATCATCATCTGTTGTACTTTTGTGCCCTGAGTTTGAAACATCCCCAACTTGGATATGGCCTGATATAGCACAAAAACCGGTGAAATAAAGCAGCACTCACAGCGGATCTGAAATCTTACACTTGATCAAACACATCGACACATCGACAAAAAACTTTTCGCAAAGGATTCAGTGGATTCTCCATAATTCCAGTGCACTCCGTTGCTACGTGCCGCTATTTTCAGCCGCCTTTGGCGCGCGAGGGTTTGTTGAACGACTGCGCCGCGTGTGCCGTCCTCAATTCTACGAAGGGTTTGCTGTCCAAATCCAACAGAACTGGAGGGTTGAAGTAACCAACCTGGTTATGACTAACATAGCCATGGTATAGATGGCCCATAGAAATAGATGGTCTACCTATTCAAAATGGTGGATCTTTCCATGGCGAACTGTAAAATAACCAGATGGTAACCAACCTGGTATTGTTGCAACCTCCTATAGTCACCACTAGCATGCTTCTCTGTATACAATGTCTACGTTGCTACACTGTTCATTGATTCCTTGAAAATCGAAAGCTTCGACCATGAAGGACGTATACCTGCTGATGCCGCCTGGTCAACTTGGCTTGACCTACGGAGCTCAGAGTAAAGCTGCATGCTCGGAGTCCTGACAGAAGCGAGATGAAAAGGATTGAACAACAGGGTCCAACAGCAATTGAACCTTGTGCAAGAAGAAATTGGGCTGGCTTTGTTGTTCAGTGTTCAATCATCTAACTTTGGGCTAACCAAGTTTGCCCCGGAACAAAGCACCAATCTTCCCCAGTGGAACATGTCACATGGAATCGCTTTTGAATATCACCAAACTGATCTCAACAAAAAAAATACGTGTAGACATAAATGAAATGTTTGTCATCCTCTACTGCCAGTCCAAATCAACATGTTGGCACCAACTGGAGATTGAACGCCTGGCCAATGCAAGCATCTATTGGATTCCGTATCCGTGGAAAACATTCTATAGAATCCTTTCTTACACATTCTCAGTGGCCAATGTCCTGTTGTACTCTCCGCCTTCAAGTGAGTTCTATCCAAGATCACTCGTCTTGTCCCATCTGCGTATGCCTCTGGTATGAGGAAGTCTCGGTAGCAAAACGTCCAACTTTATGCATGGATTGAATCAGTTCCACTTTCAATGTCCTCTTCTTCTTGACCTTCCCGTTGTTCTAGTGTGCTTTCATCACCTTCATTAATCTTACCAAAATTGTTTTTGGCTTACATCTTGCATCACCCCAAATCCTTTTCATCTTCCCATGTTGTCTTTGCAAATTGTTGTCCACTGCAAGCCCCAAATCGTCAACAAATAACAACGATTTCGAGGTGGTTTCGCACATGCCAGACATGTTTAGACTCAGGTCGGCTGTAGTGGTCGCTCCTCTATTCGTCCCTATTTTTCGTGACTTGCGAGTAACTTGCAACCACCAACTAGCGATTTATATTGATTTATTGGATTAGCCTAAGGGCCTTTGGATGCCTTTCGTAATTTCTTACATAGCAAAGTGGTACCCCCCAGTTATGTTTGTTGGTTTATAAACCATAGGAATAGTATGTCAATATATCTACCTAATCAACCATAGTGAAATTTGAGTTAGCTATGCACCAACTGAACGCAATTTAGCTCACTGGGGCAGGCACCACATTGCACCACTGAAAAAAAATGGTCCATTGATAGTTACGGATCATCCACTGGAAATCGGATCCACGGTGGTTTTTTCATCCTGGAGGCCATCGTTGGTTCGCGACCAACTTTTTCCCGAAATCATCCAAAGTAGATCAGAAAAACCAGCGTCTTTGGTGGTTTATACAATTGTCCATGATCAATGTTATCATCCAAAATATGAACAACCATAATCATTATATATATATACATCCATGAAAATATTGATAATAAACTTGGTTTGAAGTTTCCATGAGCCATATTGTATCCATTAAATCCGACCATATCCAGTAATCATATCTATACATTATCCAGGAATATCCAGGAATTATCCATATTACCCTCTGGTAAACTAACATAACTATGGAAAATCTCCATTCTATTAATGGGTAAATCAACTATAACTGCGATATGTTCAATAGCTATGTTAATTTACCAAATGGTATTCCATTTACTACCCTCTGGTTCTGTCAAACATAGCTATTGAAAATGGGCCATTGATAGTTCGTGGATTTACCCATTAATAGCATGGTGGATCTTTCCATATAGTTATGTTAGACATAACCAGAGGGTAAACCTCCATTTTCCTATGGTTTTCCTATGGTTTTCCTATGGTTTTCCTATGGTTTTCCTATGGTTATACCACTATTTTCCAGTTCGTTATGTGAAAGTTTACCAGGGGGTAACTATCTATTGATGAAACACATTATCCATCCCTTTGGACCCTTGGACGTCGAGATCAGCACACCTCCTTGGTATCTTCCAAGATCAGCTGATCCAAACCTTCGGTTTCTTTGCGATGAAACAGATACGATGGGATGGACCCCTGGGATGGACAAATTTATGGATGCACAAAAATAAAAAAATCTATCACTGATAAATAAAACAACGCATATTCCCATATGATTATATATATACATACATATACATATATATATACATATACACACATATATATATATACATATATATATATATGTATATTTATATATATATATGTATAAATACACACCATATGATCTAGTAGGTTCAAAAATCAACCAACAAATATGGTCGTACGCCCGTTCGACCTAGTATATAGAAAACTCTTCGGATGATCTTGGGATCCTCGCAATGCCTTGCCTGGCCAATGGGGAAAAGCAACTGCTCTTGTAGATAGGTTCACCAGTTGTATTTTCATCTATTATATATATATACATATAAATATATCGTATATACATATAATATACATAATGTATACATATAAAATATAATATATACATTTTTATATAACATTGAAAAACCATGTATTAAGTTATATTATCTGTATACAAGTAGTTTTAGTGTCAACACTGATGAATCTACCATCAGCATCGAACAGATGTGCCACTAGCATATTTACCAACGCCTTCATCTGGCCCCAGTTTGGCCCGCCAAGTTGCACTGATAGGCGCCAGAATAGCACAGCAAAGGTCGCAAGGCCTCTCCATGAAACCAAGACTTGAATACATAGGTCCCCAAAATGGGAATGTACTCTAGGAAAATTGGCAGTTCATGGGTCTACTGTGTAATAACGAACAAAATAGAACAGTACTTCACCATTCCTTGAGTAAGATTGTTATCTCATCCCATGGTACGAGTATCATAGCACGTCTTTCCATGACAGCCAAGAAAAAGTGGTGGGAAATGTACCCTCCGTTGACAAACACACACATTTTATGCATTTTGAAACCCTCCTGAGGTGTCAGAGAAATTTAGCAAATGCCAAGTAGATGATAGTAGATGCTAGTACGTGTAGATTGGAACCATGCGTATCCCAAAATGTACCCTCTGGTAATTTAACATAGCTATTGAAAATATCCAACTTATAGTTGATCTACCTATTCAAAATGGTGATTTTCTATAGTTATGTTAGTTTACCAGAGGGTACCTAAAATCCCTATAGTCAAATCCTCATTTTGGTTGGTTAACTCTCCCAGTGTGTGGACCACCGGAACCAACTGGTCCCTTCTCATATCACAATGATCTCAGGGTGAAATGGATTCCATGGCGCCAGTGGCATCTAAGACATGTTTCATGTCAGACATCACCGTAGACAACACTTGCGAAAGTGACACCCAAACATGTTTAAATACTGTACTAGTGGGCATTGATTCATATTTATTGGGTTAATGTACTTTGGCCACATTTTCTCATAACCCTGGAACCCTGGTGAGCTCCAAAAATAGCTGGGATTTCTGGATATTCATCCCCCCAAAAAAGATTGTTTATCAAAATGGAACACCCCGCAAAAAATTGGTTGGGGAATACTAAATCTAAACTTGGATGGTGAATACTAAATACTAAATCCGAAATTGGATGGGGAATACTACATCTAAAATTGCATGATGACTACTAAATGTCCAAATCTAAACTTGGATGGTGAATACTTAATCACTAAATCTAAAATTGGATGGTGAATACAAAATAACTAATTCTAGAATTGGATGGTGAATACTAAATGACTAAATCTAGAATTGGATGGTGAATACTAAATGACTAAATCTAGAATTGGAATGAATTGGATGGTGAATACTAAATGACTAAATCTAGAATTGGATGGTGAATACTAAATGACTACATCTAGAATTGGAATGAAGTGGATGGTGAATACTAAATACTAAATCCAAAATTGGATGGGGAATACTACATCTAAAATTGCATGGTTAATACTAAATGTCTAAATCTAAAATTGGATGGCGAATACTAAATGACTAAATCAAGAATTGGATGGTGAATACTAAATGACTAAATCTAGAATTGGATGGAGAGTACTAAATGACTAAATATAGAATTGGATGGTGAATACTAAATGGCTACATCTAGAATTGGAATGAATTGGATGGTGAAAACTTAGTGACTAGATCTGGAATTGGATGGGGAATACTACATCTAAAATTGCATGATTAATACTAAATGTCTAAATCTAGAATTGGATGGTGAATACTAAATGACTAAATCTAGAATTGGATGGTGAATACTAAATGACTAAATCTAGAATTGGAATGAATTGGATGGTGAATACTAAATGACTAAATCTAGAATTGGATGGTGAATACTAAATGACTACATCTAGAATTGGAATGAAGTGGATGGTGAATACTAAATACTAAATCCAAAATTGGATGGGGAATACTACATCTAAAATTGCATGATTAATACTAAATGTCTAAATCTAGAGTTGGATGGTGAATACTTAATGGCTAAATCTAGAATTGGATGGTGAATACTAAATGACTAAATCTAGAATTGGATGGTGAATACTAAACGATTAAATCTAGAATTGGAATGAATTGGATTGTGAATACTAAATCAACATAAGTAAACATAGACAAACAACAAAAAAACTGCGGCCGTAGCCTTCCCATCCCCCACCTGCCGGATGTGAGCCAACAGAGGTTTCATGACCTCAGGCCCCGAATCACCAATAGACATCTTTTCTTAGTGACTTTCCAACAAACAATGGGATACCGGGATAGGGTTGTTTGAAGGGAGATATTGCCGGACAACATGCTTTTTGTCCAATTCCAAATTTGTGTAAGTCTGTCAGTTTTACCGTCTTCCGATTCGGGTATCAAATATGCATTTCTTGGTTGTTAGTACATTCGTCACCTGACTGACTTGCCACAGCTTGCCAACCTGAAATATCGGCCCAATGCCAATTTTTTGTTGCACGTTGAGCTCCAGTTTCACAGATTTGCATAGACTTGAAACATGAATTTGTGTGGCCAAAGCAGCCTCATGGGGCAGAAATCCCTAGCTTTCAGACAGTCATGACATCAACAAGTTGGGAGGTCAGGTTGAGAATTCTCACGGTGCATCCACGTGTTTGTACAGGCATGGGTGATTTTACTAAAAGGCCCCGAGCCTTGGTTGAGTGATCATCCCTGATCTCTATCCCCAAGAAATACCCAAACTTCCGAAGATCAATGCTCTTGGCAAAGTGCAACTTACATCAAGTTTCAATCATGAAAATCGACCATGTTATGGAGTGATTGCTCTTACGAAGCATCATCTATAGTGAGGTCTGCCATTGTCGTTAAGAATCATCCACTTTGAGGTACATCAAAATCCAAGTTCGCCTATTGTGTCCATACAAACTAAAAAATGGCTGTGATCGCTTGCGATTACCCCCATCTATCTTAATCTTAGTCAGGTCCAACTTTGAAAGTGGATACTATTACTAGCCATTTACCACTAGTATTAAATTTCAACGTCTATATTTCACAATACCAGCATCAAAACTATCAGGTAGGAACTTCGATGCTTGGCTCCTTGGCGTATCACCACACCAGCAAACCTGACAAATACCACCATCTGAAAACCATATAACAAACAAACAAAACCATGTTTAATATCATAAACATTGCGTTTCTTAATCATCAATGTTGTCGTTTTATCTTGATATGAATCTGATAGAGTGCTTGATAATCTATAAGCACTTTGCATGCAATGATATGAAAAATATCAAATTCATAAACATACATATGATATGATAGTTTTGAAAGATATGATATGATATGATATAGGTATGTATGGTGATATATATATACCATCTGGTTATCTAACATAGCCATGGAAAGATCCACCATTTTTAAAAACGGTAAACCATCTATTTCTATGGGCCATCTACACCATGGCTATGTTAAATAACCAGAGAGTATTCCATTAACAATCTGTTGAACATATCGCATTTATAGTTGATCTACCCATTAAAAATTGTGTTTTTCCAAAGTTTTTTGTATGTTTACCAGAGGGTAATATGGATAATTCGTAGATAATGTATGGATTTTTCATAGATAAAGTCCTAGATATGAGATGATATGATATATATATGATATATATATATATATACATCATATATATATATATATATATGTGCATTACACCATCTCCAGCCATATTCTCCAGCCCACCGTCCGTGGTCTCCCGTTGGGTCTCCTGTTGGGTCTCCGAACGCGCTCCGGCAGCGCCTCGAGGTCATCCTCTCGGGCAACGAAGACACTGCAGACCTCCAGGTTTCCCGGGCCGCGATGGTGACACTCGATGGATTTGTTGGGAGGTCAAAACCATATGATCCCCAAAAACCATACATATCAATTAGATAAAACATATGTATGGTTGATAAATAATATAATAAATAGATACAGTATGGTTGATATGATATATAAAAAAAACATCAAAGAACAATAATATATATATATATAGATCACCAATAGATCATAGATATCATAGACATTTACTGGTTATTGGTGAAATCATATATTTATATATACATAGAAATTGGAGATTTCGTTGGAGGTTTGACCCCCAATTTCATAGAGATGTACGGGTGATTCTAGGTGGAGATCATGAGATACATTTGTTTCCCAGCTAGCCATGTTTGCAAATGACATTGCATTACTGTATCACTTGTATAGGGGCTAAATAGGTGGTCTTCTGTTGAGCGTATAGGATCGTATAGGTTATTTAGTGGTACAAGAACAGGATGATTTGGAGGGATGGTTTGCATGAAGATTCCGTTGCCGTCTCCTCCGTCTCGAGTGACGCTCCGGCTTTGGCACTAACAAAGAGTCTTGTCTTCAACGAAGTACTCAGAAATCTGTACGTTGTAACATGGTAAACCAGTTTATTGACTGATTTATAGTAACCAGTTTGTTTATAGTATTTACTAACCATTACTCATTGGTTCCATGGTCAAGGCTTTCAGGGAACTTCCGGCCTTCGAGGACACTTTGAGGCTGAACTCTTCCTGGCAGCGAGGCTGACAGGCAACCTGATGGAGCCTTTAACAACGAGAAGGAAATATAAAGATATAGATAGATAGATAAATAGATAGATAGATAGATAGCTAGATAGACAGACAGACAGACAGACAGATAGATAGACAGATAGATAGATAGATAGGTAGATCGGTAGATCGATAGATCGATCGATAGATAGATAGATAGGTAAATAGGTAGATAGATAGATAGATCGATGGATAGATGGATGGATAGATAGATAGATCGATGGATAGATGGATAGATAGATAGATAGATAGACAGATAGATAGACAGATAGATATAAAGAAAGATAGATAGGTAGATAGGTAGATAGGTAGATAGGTAGATCGATAGATAGATAGATAGGTAGATAGGTAGATAGGTAGATAGGTAGATAGGTAGATAGATAGATAGATAAATAGGTCGATAGGTAGATAGGTGGATAGGTAGGTAGATAGGTAGAAAGATAGATAGATAGATAGATAGATAGCTAGATAGCTAGATAGCTAGATAGACAGACAGACAGATAGATAGACAGATAGATAGATAGATAGGTAGATAGGTAGATAGGTAGATCGATAGATAGATAGATAGGTAGATAGGTAGATAGGTAGATAGGTAGATAGGTAGATCGATAGATAGATAGATAGGTAGGTCGGTAGATAGGTAGATAGGTAGATAGATAGATAGATAGATAAATAGGTCGATAGGTAGATAGGTAGATAGGTAGGTAGATAGGTAGAAAGATAGATAGATAGATAGAAAGATAGCTAGATAGATAGACCGATAGCTAGATAGCTAGACAGATAGCTAGATAGATAGATAGATGGATAGATAGCTAGATAGATAGATGGATGGATAGATAGATAGATGGATGGATAGATAGATAGAAAGATCGATAGATAGGTAGATAGGTAGATAGGTAGATAGGTAGTTAAGTAGATAGATAGATAGATAGATAGATAGATAGCTAGATAGATAGATAGACTGATAGCTAGATAGCTAGACAGATAGCTAGATAGATAGATAGATAGATAAATAAATAAACTTTTAGATATATAGATAGGTCGACAGATAGATAGATACAATGATATAGCTATATATATATATTAAACAAATCTATCTGTCTATATATATATATGTCTACACATGCACAGTATATCTATGTTATATACGCATCTAAATTTAAATACATAAACAGTATACAACTAAACTCCTAAAAAGGACATCAAAACGAATGTATTTACCGACATGTTCAGGGGTAAGGTATGTATCATCTATCTATCAATCTACTGCTATATTTGCAAATATTGACACCACGTAGTGAAGCAACATCCTGGATGGTTTACCGTAAGAGCCAATGTTCACTAACCTGCTTGGACAACCATCCGACTTTGTCAAAGCAACTCCGTTGATCAAAACCGGCTTTCCTAATCCTTCCTGCGCCAACTCAAAAATCCACTACAAGCGCAGGACCCTTCCCCCCACAAGTTGGTACCCAGGTATAAGTTGGTTTATAAACCCAGGAATAAACCATAGTAATTCTAGATATATCATATCTACCATATATAAACCAAAGTTATTGGAGTTATAAACCAACTTAGCTAGGGGGCACCAACTTGAGGCTAGCCCATATTTTTGGCTGAGCGGCTGGGTATTTCAACCCCAAGGTGCTGAGGGAACAAAAAATGGCATGGTTGCCCAGCCTGCCATGGTCGTCCGGCGGCACATCCATTTTTTTGGGGGGGAGGGTTCTTGAAGTGAGGATCCCCAAAATCATGCCCAAAATCATGCAAATGATGCGCTGTTTTGATGAGAAACCTGTGGCTCTGGGGTACCCCAATTTCACATGCAGGAATCCATGGTTTTCACCAGAAAGCGACGTCATACACATGACAAAATTTATGGGAAGATCTAAAAAATGCAGCAACACCTTCTGACACGCAACTAAGACTAAATCTAACATCACAAACACCGACATATTTGTGTAATTGTGCGTAGATCTTCAACTTATATCATAGGTAGATTTGTCTTAAATCCTACAATGAGTTAACATAGCTATGGGGAATCCACCAGATCATTTCCAATGTGTTTCCCATGGAAGTTTACCCCCGACTAAAGCAAAACACACAACTTGGGCGCCTGCCGAATTGTACCTCCCTGGGTGCCATGAAGGGCCGGGGTCGACCTGCGAACCAGTCGAGAAATTGGGAAGCTTGCAGTAAAGTTTGTTGAGATGTACTATAACTGGATGCAGTAGACTATTCATCATATATATCATATCATATGATCTATAAGTCGGTAATATCCATTAACCATTCAACTTGGAACAAGTTTCTGGCTGGATATGTACATGTATAGCTGGGCTTACTTGGAATTTGACTGGAGTTCTGGGACAATGGGCCCCCGTAGCGATGCAATGCAAGCATCAGGGCACAAGTGAATGAAATCATACATGTCTGTGCACAAGAGTTTTGGACAACGCAGTGAACACTTGAGGACCAAACCTCTTGGTCTTTTTTCATGTGTCGATAAGGTCTTATCCCTTCAGGAGAAGAAACATCCCCTTAGACCCGTCCGATAATGTCCGATACGCATCTATTTTCAAGTATATAATCAATGCAGTAATGCCATGTAATAAATATCATATTATGTACAAATATATATATATATATACCGTGCACAAGTATCTGTACTTATCAACGTATCCCATCGAACTCAAAATATTTGTATATATAGGTTTCACTTACCATGACGTACATGCTATGTACGCAATTAACTAGTTATGGGGCTTAAATCAGCCGCACTCCCCGAAACTGGTTCAAGAAGGCTGGTTGTGTGAAGCAACGGGCAATGATTGGGTTTAGTTGTGACTTCTGGGTGTGGCACTAGACAGCTATGAGTGGATGGGCTGCCAGTTGCATGAGGAAATCTTGCAATTTTCACGCGCTTGGAAGTGACCATAAAATCACGGTTTTTTGACTCATTTTCACGCCAAAATCACGGGTTTTTCACGCACCTATCACGTTTTTTTGGTTGACACCACCAGATTCTCATTGAAGAGTGAAATCAATCGCTGATGCTCCCAAAAAAAAAGATAATGGATGCACGGTTTGATATGGTTATGAATAATATTCTCCAGGTGATCAATAGTGAGCATTTTGAGCCTTTCCCACGTGAGCAATCTCATGATGCACAGGGAATGCAGGCATGATCAATCAACCAGTTTTGAAAGTACTTTGTGAAAAGGCAGTGGGAAACGAGCACTTTGCGAAGGTGCCAGTTAAACGAGAACTGAGAAGTTCAGGGCTGTAATATCAATAAATCAATATAGACAGATTATCAATCAAGTTACCATTGACCATCAACAATCTCAATCATTGTATGACGAGCCGCCTGCACTGGCAGGACGATGTAGCTGCTTGCGCGCTTGCGACTGGCCTGCGCTCACCGCTCCAGCGGTGGGCCCCTGGGGTGATACGAGTTATGTAGGTCAAAGGTAGCGAAAATATGGGAAAATATGGCACATGTAGGGAAACTATACCAGTGATTCATACATTCTCCCTACAGGGATGAATCATCAAGATGCAGTTTCAGCAAGAAATCCTCCCCTCAATCGAATTTGTGAGAATGGAACGAAGGGATTGAACATGATTGAAACCATGAAGAAATGATACGTAGCACATGCAACAAAGAGCAAACAACAAACCTGCGCATCAGCAGAAATGGAATATATGTGTCTGCATATGTATAATGGATAAAACTATATTTATCAATTTCTCTATCTCTCCATGTATGATATGTAATATGTAAGTATAATTGTGTGATAGGGTGTGCATATTATATATATCATATATCATATATCGATCATTTCCGTACACATCATTACTTGTACAATTACAAACTAGTGCCCTTGCTGACGCCTGCCCCGGCACTATGTGGCCGCATGGATCGTCGAAGGATGTCCAAGTGACCTGAAGGACTGCCCGGGTCGGAAACTGATTCTGGGTTGGTTGTTCAGCGACCTACAAACATGGCAATAGCGTGGGAATGTTTACGAGGGTATGTTGATGTTACCGGTTATTATTAAGGAGTTGATGGTTGAACATGTTGAAGCACCAAGACCCAAACATAAGCATTGCAAGGGAGTCTTCAGAGGAATCAAACGAAAGAAAACGGGGAAATTAGTTGATATTTCACCCACCCAGAGGTTGCCATTATCACGCGGTGATCATGTTGAACCAATGAAATTGCCAACAGCCTTGCCAATCTTAGATAGATACCCTTCAAAAAGCGAGGTTTTTTGCTGGTGAACGTACATATTCCCATTAATACCAAAAGACTAAAGGATTAGTTGGTATCCATGTAAGATTGACCTAGACATGTTTCGCAAATCCTGATGTGATTTGCCGCATCCTAACCCTTAAATCTCCACAGCATTCCTTGTGCCTGAACGGACAATGTAGATCACTGGATCCTGGCTGTGGATGCTCAGAAGAAAGTGGCCGGTTGGTACTTACCCATCCCCATGTTATTGTTGAGCCATGTTAAACCATTTTAAAAGTGTTTCCCAAGTACAGCAGTTGGCCGTTGTATTGGTAATCATTGACCCTGTCGGTTGTAGATAAACCCATTTTTTGTTGGTTCGATTGAGTTCTATTGTAGCCCACCTTCAAATGGGTAGATACCACTTCCCTTTTGTGGGTAACTACATTATATCTGGTTGGTGGTTGACCGACCCCTCTGAAAAATATGAAAGTCAGTTGGGATTACTAACCCAAAAAAAGGAAACATAAAATTCATGTTCCAAACCACCAACTACATTATGTGATTCAACTCTTGACCATGGGACAAAGAAAAACCACCTTGGACAATTCCGGAGTCCATTGGGCCATTGGGCTCATCCAAGGATGGACAGCACATCTGTCAGACCAACGAATTTTCCACTCAAAATACGTTGGGAATTTCAGATCTGACTATCTTAACTATAAACCATCTTTTATATTGCAATTTATTGGGAAGATAAAAATCATGTCATCTTAATTGTTTTTTAAGAATAAATTCTAGTCGAACATGGCAATGACAAGTGGGCCAGTTGTGGATGATGTTCCCATTAAAAAACAATAACTACCAACTTCATTCGGTGATTTCGCTGGATTTCCCAGCTAGCCATGCCAGGGCTGCCAGGGCGGTTCTTCTCATCACCAAATGCTGGCCATGCATGGTATCAACCATCCACCCAGCAAATGCCAATACAGTTTGATGCTCTCAAAGTTTTCTTGGGTAAAACATGGTAGTAAAACATCCAAATTTCATAGGAGGACGATAATTGGTATCGCTGCAAAAACCAGAATTCCAGCTACAGAATCTGCAGATTGATCCTGGCCTCAACAACACCTTCCTTCAAAATGACCTGCCTGGGCTGCGGGGTCCCCCGGGGGTCTGTGACTAGGTGTGGCCAACAACCTTTCAGGGCCAACAAAATCAGAACCTTCTATCAGTGATCTAGGTACGCACCATGGGCCTATGGCCTATGTGTTTTGATTCTGACAATTTACGCATATTTTGTACATAATTACATATACATAATATATATATAATTAATATATATATTGATATATATATATAATATATATATAATATCAACACAAATATATTTATTTACCTATTCATTTTTGTAGGTACACACCATTTTGGTGTGCCTGTTCTTGACCCTTGCCCTACTTGCGCAATGTAAGAAATTTGATCATTGTGATCTTCATTCCGCCCACCAGGAGTGTAAACCAAGGAAGTCAACATGCATCAAATTGGTGGCAATTTCCAATGCGGTGTTGTTGGGATATGATTGGGGCAGTTTTAGGCTATTGTTGCGATCTTGCTGGGATACGTCATTTCGTAAACTTAATGTTGCGATCTTGCTGGGATACCCTTTTCCGAAAGCTACAGCCTGGCAATCACTTCGGAGAAGCACTGTATGAGTTGTCCCTGCAGAGACCTGGACGTATGAAAGTCCTTCTTCCATATCGCTGCACAAGACATATCGTCATGCCCCATGGCCATTTTAGCACAGCCAGGGTGCAGCTGGTGGTGGTTCTGATGGCGGTTGCCACCAGGGTGCCAGGTCTTTTGGCACCACCATCCGCACGGTGGCCTTGGGATTGGCGGCATAGATCGACAGCAAGAGCTGGCCGTCAGGTAGGACCAGCTGCAGATCCTGAAGGCTGACGTTGAGGTCAGAGGCGATGCAGCTGTGAATGTCCGAGGCCAAGTCGGAAGCCAAGGCCTCGAAGCGCAACTTCTCCGCCCCAGCCAGATTGGAGCAGATCCAGGTGACGCCCACCAGGTCTTTGAAGGCAAATTCCACTTGCAAAATGAGATCCTTCCCACGTGGCCGAGCAGGATCTGCAACATAGACACAGCCACGCTTTTTGATCGTTGGAATGTCACATTGTCCGTGATGATTCCAGCCAGAAGCCACAGCCACGCCATCGCTTCGAAGAAACACGCTATGAAATCCACCTGCATAGACCTGGATGTACGACATGTTTTCACCGAGAGGTGGAATGTTGCATTGTCCATATTGATTGCGTCCCACAGCAACGGCACAGCCGTCACTCCGGAGCAGGACAGTATGAGCACTCCCGCCTGACACCTGGATGTATGACATGCCGTTCTTTAGGGCTGGAATGTTGCATTGTCCATGTTCATTATCTCCACAAGCCACAGCATTTCCATCCTGTCGGAGAAGCACAGTATGAAAGCCGCCAGCAGAAGCTTGTGCGTAGGACATTCCTTCCTCCAAAGGTGGAATGCTGCACTGCCCATGTTGATTCATTCCTTTAGCCACAACATTGCCATCACTTTGGACAAGCACTGCGTGACCTCCCCCTGTGGACTTGCGGGTGTCTGACCTTCCTTCCACTCTCGCATCGCGTCCGCAAGATACAGCACGGCCATCACTTCGAAAAAGCACTGTATGAGTTGCCCATGCAGAGACCTGGGTGTATGACATTCCTTCCTTCAAATCAGGAATGTTGCATTGGTCATCACTATTCAATCCGCAAGCTACAGCACGGCCATCAATGGTGAGAAGCACAGTGTGGTTGGCTCCTGCAGAAACCTGAACGTACGCTTCCACAGGTGGAATGTTGCATTGTCCATGACTATTCGATCCGGAGGCTACAGCACGGCCATCACTTCGCAGAAGCACTGTATGAGTTGCTCCTGCAGAAACCTGGGTGTATGACATTCCTCTCTCCAAACGTGCAATGTTGCAGTGTCCATGCCGGTTCGATCCGCAAGTTACAGCACTGCCATCACTTCGCAGAAGCACTGTATGAGTTGCTCCTGCAGAAACCTGGGTGTATGATGTTCCTTCTTCCAAAGGTGGAATGTTGCATTGTCCATGCCGGTTAGATCCGAAAGCTACAGCAGCGCCATCACTTCGAAGAAGCACTGTGTGACTTAGACCTGCAGAAACTTGGGTGTACGATATTTCTTCCTCCACAAGTGGAATGCTACATTGTCCAAAAACATTATCTCCGCAAGCCACAACATGTCCATCTTGTCGGAGAAGCACGGTATGAAACCCTCCAGCAGAGGCTTGCGTGTAGGACATTCCTTGATTGAGAGGTGGGAAGTCGCATTGTCCAGAATCGTTTTGTCCACAAGCAACAGCACGGCCATCACTTCGCAGAAGCACTGTCTGATACAAGTTTGCAGACACCTGGGTATACGTCATTCCTTCTGCCAAAGGTGGAATGCTGCACTGTCCATCGTCAGACTTTCCGCAAGCAACTACCCATCCGTCATTTCGAAGGAGCACCGTATGCCCTGCCCCTGCAGAGACCTGGATGTATGACTCACCGTGGTTCAAGCGCGGGATGTCGCATTTTCCATCGTGTTTGCTTCCGCATGCAACAGCCTGACCATCACTGCGAAGCAGCACTGTGTGATATTGACTTGCACAAACCATTGCAGGTCGAACATCAGCGTGGCTGATGTCGCCACCTGGACATCTTTGATCCAAAATCTAGAACCGGACATATGGTTTAGCAATGTTTTGCCACTTACGTGTCATCTGTGTTTGGTAGGACTGGATCTCAAAATAACTCAAGGGCTGCACTAAGTTGATTTCAAAAAAATCGAAGGGGTAGAAATACAGTGTCTCATCAAGTCTGCTTTGAACACTCAGCAAATCATCTGGCTAAATCATAATGTTCCACCAGCCTCAAGAAACCTGAGATAAGGCCACTACTGGGGTATTCCCTATTCCCCAACCCTGACCATCATCTAGCATAGTGACGTCATTTGAGGTTATAATTCCGCCAGAATCAACACACCCAACCTGGACCAGACTCATGTGTCATGGCAGTCTGGGCAGGGGGACCTAGTTTTTCGCCGCAATGTTCTCACGTATACTTAGACAATCAGGAAAGTTCAACAATGAATCAATTTCCGGAGGATTATATTTGAGTATCTGAACAAACTCCGGACATGTTAGCTATATTGCTTTCTTATTAATCAAGTTAAGGTACAGTAGTTAACATGCTGGCAGGTTGGGTAATTGGTTGGTCAAGTCAAATGGTTGGGGGAAGCTATCACAGCTATCGATACCTCCACAAATAGCATAGGCATGTGTTAGGTATACAAAAACCTACTATATTCTTAAACTATATATAGCCTATTAGTAGCACAAGCAGTAGCCTATCCCATTTATCGAAGGAAGTTTAGAAGTCAAACTTCCGACAATATGGACAGATGAAAAGCAGAGCAGGGCAGAGGCAGAGAGAAGAGAAAGATCAGAAGAGAGAAGAGTAGAAGAGAAAGAGTAAGAAGAAAGAAGATGGAGATGCGCGAAAATGTAGGAAAGTCGCGATTCACTGTGTTTTTCCAATGATTTGTGGCTCCGGAGGGTCGAAAAGTAGGCTCGCTAAAGCGGCGGGTGCGGAGCCAGCTGGCCAGAGGAGAGATGAAAAATTGCACGCCGTTGTGGCGCGAAGCACATTTCCAAGTCAAAATGTACAGAACACACTACGTTCGAACCACTTTTGGAAGTTGAGATGTTGAAAAAGTGCACGCCGTTGTGGCGTGAAGCACATTTCCAAGTCCAAATGTACAAATCACACCACGTTCGGACCACTTTTGGAAGTTAAGATGTTGAAAAAGTGCACGCCGTTGTGGCGCAAAGCACATTTCCAAGTCAAAATGCACAAAACACACCAGCTTCGGACCACTTTTGGAAGTTGAGATGTCGCAAAAGTGCACGCCGTTGTGGCGCGAAGCACATTTCGAAGTCAAAAGTGCAAAAAACTGAGGGGTACGGAGCACTTTTGGACGCAGGCGCAAGGGATTGTGCACCTTGTCAAAAGTGACCAAAATGTGAGGGTTTTGTAGCATGTCCAAGAATGATGGCAGGCATTGGACATTTGAAGAGGATCTGCAAAGATGCATCTTCGTGGCAGGCGCAGTACAAAAGACATGTTCATGAGAGATGTTAGGAGGTCAATCAGGCGCAGTATTTTAGATTGGTACGAGTCTGTCAGCTCTGCACTCAACTTTCCATTTTTGAAGGAAGTCTTGCAGAATTCTTCGGTTTTGATGTCTTGCACTTCGAATAATGAGGAAGTCTCGCAGAATTGCTTCGTTTCGGATGTTGTCAAGTTCAAAAAATGAAGACGTCTCGCAGAATTGTTCCGTTTTGGACGTTCTTATGTTCAAACATTACGGAAGTCTCGCAGAATTTCTTCGTTTTTGATCTTGCAGATAGATAGATAGATAGATAGATGGATGGATGGATAGATAGATAGATAGATAGACAGATAGATAGACAGACAGACAGACAAACAGAGAGAAAGCGAGAGAGAGAGAGAGATAGATAGATAGATAGATCGATAGATAGAAAGGTAGATAGATAGATAGGTAGATAGATAGATCGATAGATCGATAGACAGATAGATCGATAGATAGATAGATAGATCGATCGATAGATAGATACATAGATAGATAGATCGATAGATAGATAGATAGAACGATAGATAGAACGATAGATAGAAAGATAGATAGATAGATAGATAGATAGATAGATAGGTAGATAGATAGATAGGTAGATAGATAGATAGGTAGACAGATCCATAGATAGATAGATAGATAGATAGATAGAAAGATAGATAGATAGATCGATAGATAGATCGATAGATAGATAGATAGATCGATAGATAGATAGATACATAGATAGAAAGATAGATAGATAGGAAGATAGATAGGTAGGTAGGTAGATAGGTAGATATATATATAGATAGATAGATCGATAGATAGATCGATCGATAGATAGATAGATGGATAGAGAGAGAGAGAGATAGATAGATAGGTAGGTAGGTAGGTAGTCAGAGAAAGAGAGAGAAAGAGTGAGAGAGATCAATCACCTTTCGCTCCATCAGTGGCTTCGCTCTGTCATCTGTGACTCACAACAACCAAACTCTCCTATAGGTTTCCTATTTTTGAAACTTCCGCCACCGCCTTGTGCGGTACTACTGGTATCTATAGATTGGCCAACTTGTCAAGCCCAATTGAACACGAAAGGCTCTCTCTCTCTCTCTGGCCCGTTCATATCCCAATGTTTTGCATCCAACCAAATTTTGCGGAAAATCCTAATCTATACTTCAGTCACCCTGGGTCTGCCTCAAGTGAGGGCATCTTGAAAATTTGATGGTTCATCATGCTTATTGCCCTCTGGTAATCAAACATTGCCAGCTGGAAACAAACCCAGCAATACAACTTTCCCAGCTATAAACCTACATGGATAGTTCAGGGATTTCCCAGCCGTATTCGATGACACTGGAAGGTATTTCCATTGATAACCATTCATCATCAGTTATCACTAAAGAACCACAATAAGGAACACAACCACTAAGCACCATAAAAAAATAACACAATGAAAACACAATGTTGAATCATTTTTGAACAACTACTAGCCATCATGAAAAACCCAATTTGGCGATGTTGTGCCAGGCGGCCCCTCATCAAACTCGAGCTCTTTAAAGAGATCCACAGCGTGATCGTCAGCAGACCTGGTGCATCGTGATCGTCACCCAAGACGTCGCCCAAGAGGAGATCGCGATGCGAAGAGAAAGACATGCGATGGTTCTCCTTTTCGGCTTCCATAAATCTTACGCAACGTGATTATTTAACGGTTTGCGAACTGGGAAATCACCACATTTATACATTGTATATTCTTTAATAGGTAAAACATCATAAATCATCTATTTCTATGGGCCATGGCTTCCAGTTCGCTATGTTAGTCATAACCAGGTTGGGTAATGGTTGAATGATAATACCATGCTTCACACTGTGGTTGACTTGACTGACATTGTCGTATGTCCCCTAGCCTGCGAAATCCTGGTATCCTGGCTTACAACTAGGGGATTACAGCCAATCATAATATGTGAACAGCCCGTACCCCTCGAATTCAACAGCCCAGGGGGTTAGGAAAACTCCATGAAACCAGACAGTCCAACCCAAACATCATATAACTTCATATAACCAACTAATATTTACAGGTAATTAGAAGTCCACCAATAACAAGTACCCTCTGGTAACTTAACATAGCTATAGAAAATCACCATTTTCAATGGGAAAATCAACTATAAATGGCCATTTTCAATACTAGTAGCTATGTTATATAGTTACATTTCTTGGTTTTGGTACGTTTTAGTAATTCTTATCCACCTCTCCTGAGATTTTTTAGCAGTTTTAGAGGGGAAAAAAGTTTTCCAACCCCCCACTGATAGCAGAGTCTCTGTTCGGGTGGCGATATCCCATTGTTGTATAGAGCACTTTTCAAATGATGTGGAAATGACTCGTAAAATCCAGCAACCCCATTGCCAATCCTATGAAGACGGCAACATGTTGTTGAGCTTCAGCAAGGTTTCATAGCTTGAGATCATTTATGTGTAAGTGAACCCAGAAGTCTTGTGCTTAGAACAATTTCCACATAAAATCTCACAATTAATCCATAATTCTTCGTGTATAAAACCAGATAATCTTGAATGCATAGTTTGGGGTGTGGTGGCTCTAAATTCAAAGGATCAATCCGCTACATGTGGTGGCCACTGCAATTTTACTTCAGCCTTTCCTCCGACCATTTCCGACTTTAGACATTTTAGAGCTATCATGATATGTCATGATATGTTATGGTACGCCAATTACTAGGGAGGGTTAGGGATCCCTGCGTAATATTTCTTTGATGCCTTATTCTTTTTTGAACCCCATGCCTTATTCATCTTTGTTTTTTTTCATTCTCCAAGCCAGTTGCTGTTCTACGCCCGGCCTCCCAGCGCCTTGCGGGCTCGAACTGTCGCTGATGTTGCTCATTGAAGGCTGCGACTTTTGGTTCCTGGCTGGGTCTCTTAGTGGCAGGCGAACAAACATAAGAATAGGCAGAATAGGGATATCATTTTATCTATAGATATTGACATTATATGATAAACCCTAGGGATATAATATAAACCCTATAGGATATAATTTCACCCTATAGGGATATGTCATGATAATGTCATTATGACTCAAAAAAGCGACCTATATTTTTGCTCCGATGGTGAGATTTGCCATCAGAAAGCCTGGCGTGGGATTTCAGCGCCCCGATTCTGCATCTGCCCATGGGGTATAACATCAAACAGGGGTACCCTCTGGTTATGGCTGACATAGCCATGGAAAATCACCATTTTTAATAGGTAAACCGTCTATAAATTGGCCATTTTCCAGTTCGCTATGTTAAATAACCAGAGGGCAATGTGTTTACTATTGTTAAAATACGGTACCCTGTTCTCCGAAGATTGGCCCTTCCAGGAGTTCCAGAGACTTTGGAACAGCTGTTTCGCATTTTGGGAATGGGACGGGTATTACAAACAAAGCCATCTGGTTTCTGAATGTCATGGCGTATTCGGACCCCGAAAGTTCTGCAGGCACCAAGCCAGACCTTGTGGCCCAAATCAGCTGCCCCGTATTTGATCATTGCGAGGTGATTTGGGTCAGATTTCCACCATCAAAGATCAGCCAAGCGCGGCACCTTAGGGTCTCATTGGCAAAGCCCGGGATTTTGCTGATGAAGAAGAGGCGTTTCCTGATGACAGAGTGTTTGGGATGTTTCAGGTTCAAAATGGTTGGCCAAAACCTAATGTCTTGCCGTTTGAGGGGCGTGAGCTTGGATCCGGAAAATAACTCAGTGGATTTACTATATCAGCCAACTATAGTTTCAAACTTCTACAGTTTCGGGAACATGACAAAACAATGAAACTCTATGTACAACTATATGTATATTAATATGTATTTAGACACAGGCACATAAACAACGTATATAGTAAATGTAATCATTGTTTCTCAATCAATGGGCATGGTGATTTGACCCAAACGTGTCACAACGTTTCACGGCACAGGTCGCACAGGTCCTGTAGACATCTGCGCTGATGCTTTCAGAAAACCATTTCTGGAAGGCATTCCGCCTAAACGACGCGAGGAAAATGCCAAGATGAGCCGGCCATTTTTAAAGGGGACTAGATTTACCATCGTCTACATGGGTATCCATCGTCTACATCGGTATGCAAAAATGGTAAGAGTGAAATATAAATATCTGTAAGTACCTGTATACTATATATATAGTTATATATATATATATTATACATCCATGCATGTTGTTACAGTATACTTTGAGATGTATGAATAATAAAACATTTACATACATCTATCACCTATACGGGTGGCAAAATAATTGCGTACAGTAGAACATATTTTTTCCATCATTTTTGTTACCCCCAGATACGGTCAATATATCTATCAGCTTCAACAATGTTTGCAACATGTCGCATGTTTTTTGAACTTATAATCAATTGTGATTACAGTATAATCCGTAAACTGGTCCTGAAAAAAATGAACATCTTCAAGACAAATCCAGGGTTGGGAGGCAAACAACGGAAGGCCCCTGTGGACCACCAAAGGTAGCGTGGCTATGAGTGGATTGTGACCCCATGAACTGGTGGATTTTACCACCCTAACATCACCAAGGCTTCGTAAATGTCCTGTTTTGGGGATTTTGGGCATTTCGGGATTTTGACTACCCTCTGGTTATGTCAAAATTATAGAAAATGGTCATTTTATAGTTTCTTTACCTACGAAACATGGTGATTTTCCACAGCTATGTTAGTTTACCAGAGGGTATCACTTCTTTTTAAAAAGTATATGTTGGAGATGATATCCCCAATAGTTGGGCGATGTGAAACCTTGGGACATTTTGCATTTCCCAACCCTTGACCACTCCCGCCACCAAAATGGGACACGCGCGGCCTGATCACCAAAAATGTGCATTTGGATTCGCAACCTCAGCTGGGACATGTAAACAAAATCGGATCAGGTTGTCACCATGCACCTAAGCCATGAAGAAACCTCAAATTGGCGAAGGCTTATTGTTCAGTTTACATCATTACATCCTTTTCCGAATATGTGTATGGCCCAGGCCACAAATCAAAGGACATACTCATGTATTCCTCCTTAAAGATTTCAAACCCGAGCGTTTGGAAATCGAAATGAACATTAGAGTTGAAATAATTTGGATCTGCACTTGGATATTGAAATATTGACCTGAATCTGTTGAAATCCATGAGGTTGTTTTCAAACTATATCTCGAACACTTCCCATCGCAATGTTCCTCTGATTTCTCCGCGTTTTGCTTGCTCAACTTGGTATTATCGTTTGTGGTACATTCCAACATACCGGTATTGAATGCTATTGAAAACAACATTGTTTATCCATTTTTGATGGGCAAATAATCATAAACCATCTATAAATGGGTCATGTTATTCCCTTTTTAATCCAATGTCACTGTTGTTAGTGGCCAGGCATCCTCCAACAAGACTGTGCCAGGCATCTCTGGTGGACATCATGCGTCCCCATGTGGGGTAAACTCCACATCCATTATACATGTAATATGTTATAGTTTATCATGGCACCTTCAGACCATCAATATCTATATATGTATGTATATATATATATATATGTATATGTAGATATTTAATATATGATAATATATATATATATATATGCATTATGGACAAAATACAGCTGGATCTCCAAGTTCCTTAACTATACACCAAAAAAACAAAAACATCGAAACTTAGGGAAGATCCAGTCTCGACCAATCACAACCTTGGCCGCCCAGCGGATGGATGCCGCACGCCTCAACGGATTGTTCCCCTTCGGGTGTGATGTTTCAAAACAAAAACGACGTGGAAAAGCCAGTTATGACTATAGAATACTATAGATATATAGCACCATTAACATCCATTAACTATAATTATAGATATATGATGAACACTATACATAAGATACATATTGATATATGTTGTTGTTGGTTATCAATGGAGTTATTAAGTATATCATTAAGGCCAGTTGTTGGTATATAAGCCCCATGAACTATATAGATATATGATGAATTATGATGATATTTTTTACAAACCCGAGTGAGATTGGAGTTATGGCTTCAACAGCCGAAGTGGGATGTCATGATTAAATAATATTAGATGTAGATGGCATGATTACATGACACGTAATGATCTAGATGAATTCATGTACATATGATACAAACAAAACAGAAATGGGATGACATGATCAGGTGATATTGGATGCGCATTATGTCAGTAAACATAAGGACTAAAACGCTGTACAACTGAGATAATGTCTTTCTTTGTACCCCAATCCCATGGCTTATCACTTTCCCCATTCGAATACTGATTGTTGGATATTAAGGAATTCGGGACAATTCCATTACCAAACATACGGATCTTATCACCACAACAATGGGAGTCCAATCAACAAACAACTTGGGTAGCCGTATGTAGTCGGGTAGGTTCGCTGCCTGACAGCTATTGTTATTGGATACTTGGACCCATGGCTGGTCTATTTGAACAAAAATATCTTGAGGAGTCCCATCCCCCCAAAACAACAATGTACGCTGTTGGATCCATTCATTTTCAGGGCCCATGTGGGGTTTGTAATATGACAGGGGAGGTATACATATCCACATTCATTACTGGGGGATAACCCAATGCATATCTGTCCCTTGGAGTTTTTTTGGCATGCTGTGTCTACTGAAAACGTTGAGCGCTGGACGGTTTTCGCTCCATCAAGCCCAATCTTATATGCGGAGATTATGCGGAGTGGGTGGAAGTCTCACCAGCCAGTCATGAGAACCCCACAAGTAGCATCTCGCCGACAAAAACGGAAGGGAAAAAAGGTACTTGCCCCTGAATGGTAAATGCATCCACATGATTTTAGGATTTTCCAATGCTTTACATGAGATACTTGAATTGACTCTGGGTCGGCTCAAAGTTGCCAACAAGTCAACGAGGTCTGCGCTGGTTTGTGGATCAATTATGATCAATTCACCCTGGTACTGTTCACGGCAACAGTCAGCTGGTGTTTAAGTAGATCCCCTCCAAACATTGGCAGTTCAAAGGTCATAGGATTTGATACGTCGCCATATCGATGGTCAAACGAGGGTCAGCTGATGACTTCCGTTTTTTCAAAATTCCGATGATTCAACCCACAAATTTTCTTTCATGACACCAGACATTAAATCGTCTTACAGTAAATCGTATTAAACCGTATTAAACCCATATGAAAGCCCTAGAAAATCCCCATCTCAACTATATGAACATCGTATGAAATCCCCAACTCTGCTTTGGGACGCCGACTCTCCGAAGGCTGCGCCGCGCTGCAGTGAGACCACGCGCGTGCCCAGATCCGAGCTGTCGCAATAGGTGTTCAGGCCTGGCGGTGATTCACAGAAAAAACGAGAGTTCTCGGATGAAAACTACAGTTATGGCCATTTATCTATAGTACTTATAATAGTATAATTATAGGAATCAATAGTTCATTTATCTTATTTATAGTACTTTTAGTACATTCCATTTATCAGTTATAAGTACTAAGAAAACCCCATTTATGGAATGTTTCTCATCACATAGAAATAACCAGTTATAACTGGTAGCCATGGACATAACTGTATATAGTGAAAACTATAGTGAAAATAAGGAATCAATATCCAAGAAATCCCAGATGCCAACCATGGTGCTGGTATATAGAAACCTACAAAACTGGGTGATTTTTAGGGTTGTTGGTAGACATTCCATATATGGAGCATCTGGGTATGGAATAAATTTATTAAATAGGGATGGACACTATATGGAATAACGGTATTTTTCGATTTCTCGAACATAAGGAATAAATATGGAATTCAACTCTGAAATAATCTGAAATAGATGATTTTTTTGAATGAGAATGGATTACCATCTATTTTCATAAGGCTTGGCATAAGTTTGTTGGGTCCGATGCTGGTGGCGGTACCATGGATCTCTGAAGGCATACCGGTGAAGGCATTTGCGGCAAGGGCGATTGGACACGCGGAAAGGCTGTCCAATACCCAGAGAATTGAGATGACAATGACAAGAAACTGAAAGGAACTCAGTGACTTGAGACTCAATGGTTTTTTTTCCAGCGACAGAGATTCATTGAACTGTTCAGGGAAACTAATTTAACATGGGTTGTTAAAAGCTCAGAAAAGGACCCAGGTCCCGTAAAAAGATCGTGCCCATGTGGAGATTCTCGACGGTCATGTCTGGACTTGTGACACCAAGACAATGGAGACTGGGCCAGGATTGATCATGCAATGCTTCATGCTAAAGGGACCTCTACGTGGGGGGAGAAGTTGAGGTCATTAAATGGGTATATGATGATTAAAATATATAAAATTGTTATTAATGGATGTTAATGGGTATATGATGGTATATGATGATAAACGTGTTGTGGCAATGAACTCTCCATTTTTTGTGGTTGAGTCTGCAGTTTTGTTGGCAATGATCTAGAGGAATCGACCACAGTTTCTTACCCTTGCACGCGATGATTGATAGCATCCGCATCCGTATTACGTAGATACGATCACTACTGGTTGGTGGTTGGTTTCAACCCCTCTGAAAAATATGACTTCATCAGTTGGGATGATGACATTCCCAATATCTGGGAAAATAATCCAAATGTTCCAAACCACCAACCAGACTATAATTTAAGTGATACCAACCATTACCATCGATATTACCGGTTGCCATCTACCACTTGTCAATATCCATCAATCATCATTCTCCCTGTTTTTGCCAAAGGATAGATTTTTATCCCATGGTCGCAGCCCACAGGAGTCCTTCCAGTGTGTAGCGTCGATCCGTGTCGACGAATTCCTAGTCGCATTCTCGACTGGGGATCTGTGAAACCGATAGAAATTCTCCGAAAGCTGTTTTTTTTTGGGAATTGATAGGTCTACGTGGTTTCCAAGGGGAAACCGGAAACCAACTCTTCTAGCTACGTTGGGTTTGTTGTACAGACAGTGTGAAACACTCTTTACAAGCATATCTGCAAGACTTTACTGAACATGGTGACAAGGCGCCTGACCACCTATTGAAAGAATGGACTAATCTTTAGCTCAATCAAACGGTTGTCATACTTTGCTCTTTTTGGGACACCTACCAACAACTATCAACAACCAGGAATCGTCAAACCATGTCAAACCGCAAATCAACACGTTGTATTCCAACACGATTGCGAATTTCCAGGCACAGCAGAGTGCATGTCATCCATGGATGACATGGTTCCAGGGACGCTTTGTCATTGAGAATCCCGGGAACGTTGGATATCGGGGTAGAGACAACTTAACCCTACTATATGGGGGTTTCCATAAATGGGGGATCCCCGAAATGGTTGGTTGGTTTATAAGGGAATATCCTATTAAAATGGATGATTTGGGGGTACCCTCGAAAGCCACATATATTATATCCCTATATGAAGTTTCGACATGCCCAAAGTCACAGATGGGATGTGCAGAAACCCTTCACAGATGCCGCCAAATGTCGAGCTGGAACTCATCCTGCGGTGCAAATGTGCAACCCAGACGTTGGATAAATATGGATACCCTCTGGTTATTTAACATAGCCATGGAAAATGGCCCATAGAAATAGATGGTTTACCGTTTACCTATTAAACATGGTGGATCTTTCCATGGCTATGTTAGTCGTAACCAGATGGTATTGTTCAAGTAAAATGTAGGATTGATGAAGTTCCGACATGGTCTATCAAAGGCGACCTAGACTGTGCGTGTTTTTTCTGCTTGTGGAAACGTGGGATGCCTGGTGAAATGCTCCATGTTCAACTCCATCAATGGTTTGTCATTCCATTGAAGGTTCGCAAGCACGCGACCAACTCATGTGCCAACTGTTCAATCCTGTGAGATCTGGAAGGTGTGATGGACTACCCAAAGGATCCAAATGGACCAACAAAAGAGTTGAATTTCATGTCCAACCCCCATTACGCTTGTTTCACTCCAAGGTGTGAAGTGGAAAAAAATGCTCAGGAAATCCACAATTCATCGGGGCAGTCCCTACTTGATCTCTGCTGGCTGGTCTATCATGGTTGTCTCAGAGGTGCTTCAGAAACGGATTCAATGCAAAACCCAGTGAATTCTACATAATGCCACTGTCAATTCATCGGGGATGGGTCAAAACCTTTTAAATTGCCATATTTACGAAGCATTGACGAAGCATTAACCTCAATGTGAGGCCCCCGTTCGATAGCTAAGTTGGCAAATAACTCCAATAACTATGGTTTATGGTATTTTTAACTAATATAGTTACTGGGGCAAATATAAACCAACGTTCACATCACTGGGGGGCCTAGGGCCTTGCTGTAACCAGCTGGTGAAACATCCAGGTCTCCCCAGCGACTTTGGGTACGACTCCCCTCCCCTCGCCTCTTGACGCCTGCGCTGCCATGGTGCCATGGTGATATGGGATGATCTCCAAGTAGAAACATGAGATGAACTGAGGATATTCCATACATCAATAGGCTATGATATATAGTTACCATTATCTATATATATATATATATAGTTACCATTATCAACAGGATATCTATGTGTTGAATATCTGTGGGTGTTTCAATGTGTTGTACGGCCAAAGCAGTGGTTATTCTCTCCCAGTTTGTACAGGGGGGGAAATCTGCCAGCATGGTTGTTTCTACCCATGAAAATCATCCCAACGGCACTGTAAAATCTTCCCATTGTGACGACACTATTAGAAAGCTCTGACCCAACATTTTTGTTGAGCAAATGATCTGAAGCATCTTGAAATTGTTGACCCGTTCTGTTACGTTCTGTTCCCAAATTACAACAGTTTCTGAATGCTCTGTGAGCTCTATGTCTTCGACTAGACCGAGCAAGGTAATGTAGTGCAATGCTGTGGGTATTTATAATGTATTATAATGTATTATACTGTATTATAATGTATTATAATGTATTCTTCTCCTTATTATCATTGTTATTATAATATATTCGTCTTCTTCTTCTTCTTAGTATTATTATTATTATTATATATATAATATATATTACAATTACTATATGTATATATGTATGATATTGTGCAGTCAATTTATGTAAATGCAAATTTTCACGATATTTGAGACGTAAATCGTCGCTGCTCACCCACCATGCACCTTTTGGATCTGGGCGACAACAACAATCAGGATTGGGATAAGTGCAAATAGTCATCCATTCATATTAGACACTACTCCATGGCAAAGAAATATCTCTTGGAGGGTCAATCCAAATCTTGCAGCAATAACCACTGGAAACCCTGGACCACATCTCAACCGTCTAGAGACATTGACTTGCATCAACCATGGCTAGCTAGGAAATCGTCTCAACCAATTGGCATGTTCAAGGGGAAAATCATATAATATTAATATATATATATGTACGGGTGATGCACCAGAAAGCCATGTGTATGATTGCCAATAGACTCTTGAACAAAACTCTTTTTCAGCACAGTACCATGCAGTCAACAAATGGGTCGAACAAAAAAAGGCACTGTAGCAGTAAATCCACTGGTTCAACATCATGATGAACATGTCCAGTGAAAATATGGCTCTTCCACACAGCAGATCCCGTCGTCCCGTCGTGGGTGCCTGAAGCATGGCAGCTGACAACGTGGAGCTTTCTTTACCTGGATGACGTGGAGCTCATGTTGTTTCGATGCATTGCTGACGCCGGATTCATGGACGCAGGGTTGACCAAAAACTCGGGTTTATCGGCTTATTGTGGATGAAATATGGATGGTGATGATTTCATGTTTGTTGCTTTATCAATGGCCATTTCAGGAACCGATTTATTGGAGGTACCTACCACATATAAGGCCTATTTTTCAGGGCTAAATTTCAGGGAATGTCCCCACAATTCATATGGCCAACAATATGGTACTAACTAACGTACCTCCATCTGTTGGATCCTGGAGATCTCCTGTTGACTTTATGGTTTCTGATTTATTGGGGGGCTACGGATTCATCATCCCATGGGGAGATTTTAACATATTTTAGCCATGTCACTGCCGTGGGCCAACTTCGCCCGATGGAAGGGTTACCCTGCCTATATGCTGCGTGTGTGGTATGTATGTTAGATCCGCATTCGTGCTTTATATTTCCAGCTTTGACACAGGCAAACTCCAATCGGTTCTCAATCAAATTTCTTACAGATGAAAACACATCGTCGGCGAATAGTCAACAATGCTTAGACCCTGAACAATGCCCTCATGTTTTATGGATCCCAGGCACCAGGGTGACTTGGAGGTGCTCCTCATCGAATTCCCGTGGCGACCGCTGCTCCTCCTTTCGGATGTAGACCCCCACCGAGCCTGTGCACAGGCGAGGCCCCTGGGAAAACGATAGCGAAGTTGGTTCCAATTACTAGGTGAATTCTATGGTTTACAGTACAAGGAAATAAGTATATCTATATGTGTATCTATCTATCTATCTATCTATCTATCTATCTATCTATCTATCTATCTATCTATCTATCTATCTATCTATCTATCTATCTATCTATATACGTATATATATATATATATATACAGATACACCTTTAATATCTTTTAATGGGTTTATCAATTATCAACAAACATAACTGGAATTCTGTTGTTTATAGATGTTTATAATAGATGTATCTATACTTTTAATGGGTTTATAATTTATACATCAACATAACTTGGCGGTCTTCACTTTATGGGGATTCCCAGTGCATGGTGGTAATCCCCAATCATCATTTCAAGGCTGGTCGAACACCCCCGAACAAAAAAAACATCATCAACCAAACATCTTTTATTGTATTATTTACGATAGATGTCATTAACAATATTAATGATATAAAACGATTTCATTATTTGTATGATGGTTGGAAGATATCATACCATATATATATACACATATTACTCCCAACCATCATTAATTCATGAATGTATATGAATCTTATATTTCCATTTGTTTGATTGAAACAAAACTCTGGGGCAAACTAACTAAATATCGGGATAGATATTGGAAACCTGTGGGGACTCCCACAAGATCATCATGCTGGATGCTCCACATCTAAGGTCAACAAACTTGGTCTTATAGTCAAAAAAAACAATATATACCATATGTTTCCCTATAAATTTCGGAGAAAAACCACAAAAAAAAATCATTCAACATTTCAGTATATGAATCATGACAAATGGGATAGCACCAGGCTTCAGCATCCAACATTTCACTGCTGCGGAATCCTCGGCGCCTCGCGTCACCACGTAGCAGTCCTTGGGATCGTCGCCCTGACGGAAGAGAACTTCACCTGGCACCGGGATGGCGCGCTGGTGGAGACCCACGGATCCAAAGACGATCGCGCTGAGCTGGTTCAGACTTAGTATATATATATATATGATAAATGGTTGGTGATAAATGATAAATGGTATATATATATATAAATAAATACTTGGTATATATATATATATATACATGTATATATCTTTGATTTGGTTGATGATTAACGTGATTAATGTTGTATTTATATATATATATATGATCACCATTTATAGTAAATAATCCAATTGATGTTTAATAAATAGTCATCTGGTTGGTGGTATACCTACCCCTCTGAAAAATGATGGAGTTCGTCAAGTCAGTTGGGAACAAAAAAGATGTTCCAAACCAGCAACCAGTCATGTATGTTCACATAAGCAAACAACATGAAGTGGTTAGTGTTTCATTGAAGGTTGACCCGGGTGCTTGTGTACTCCCTGAGGATCAGGGCCTTCCTCTGCGTCTTGGAGTAATGCCAACTTCGCCAAGTGAAAGATGGTGCCTGCAGATGGCGTTCACCACCCAAAGATCTGAAATTTATCCAGATTAAGATCATCACCCGTGGTAATATGAGTGTAGTATGATGTCATATGTGGTTTTAAAACTCTAAAGAATAGGGCTCTAGAAGAATTTAACCAACACAAGGACGAACTTTCAGCATCAAAAATGGTAGTGTAGAGTTCAAGCATCCAATGAAAGGGGGTCCGAGCAACAATAACTGAATGCACAGAAAATATAGGAGTGTACCATATTCTGGGCAACAATAGTCGGTAGATAGTCTATTCATACACATTTCCTCCAATTGTTATTTTGCTTATTTTGTACATGGGTCTGAAACTTGTATCATGGAAGGGGGCACAGCCCCATCAAACACACTGAAGGCATAGCAACTTGGGTGCCTTAGAATCCTCGTTTGTGGCTTACGAAACTAAACGGAGAACTGCTCCACTCAGGTGGACCCAGAAATAGTTCCAAACATCGAGAGCCACATCTGGCTCAAAATAAACAAAAAGGATCTTGATCCTAAATTGAATATCTTCCCACATCATCTCACCATGTCCCGAACGCGCCTGACAAGACGTCGTCAAACTCCTTGAAGAAGGCGACTTCTCTCAAAATTCCAGTGGCCTTGGTAGAAAAAAGATGAAGCCGGGACCGTTGAGCCATTGACCCAGAGGAGAGTTTCTGTGCTGGATTCACCAACAGGGGATCTGGGTCCCGGGGATACAGTGAAAAAAAAAACTTTTTTGACCTACCAAATGGAAATTGTTGGTTCTATGAAAAAAGTATGCGTGACGTATACCAAAAGTGATATGAAATTGATTGAAACATGCTATTGGAGCAGTTATGAAAAACATTTGTATGGCTGAGAGAAACATGATCAATCGAAGCAGAACATCTATTCTAGGCCCAAGGATCAGGAAATGTCAAGAGGCATATGATTAGAAACAACGAAGAACTGCTCATTCCAACTCAGTTGAGCCCCAAGTTTTGAAATATAGTTCCATGATTCAAAAAAAGTGTACTGTTAGTACTTCAGATTTCAAATACTTGATTTTAAGAGTTATGTCATATTATGTCAGTGCTTAAAAGTACATCTGTCATTACAGAACTTTCCCATCCATTCTGCTCTGAGTCTGAGACTGCTGGAACAGAGACCCTGCAGCGTGGAGATTTGCAGCTGGATTCATCCAACGTTTCTCTGGTCTCGCTTCACATGTCATCATTATGGAAAAGACCAGAAGAAAACATTCATATGCATTCATATCACAAAATATGTCTATAGAATCCATTCATCCATATAACAAAACATCGATATCCAGCATCAGCATCATCAAAACAATATCTATATATGTGTATATGTATATGTAATATGTCAATTTCATAAACTACCAAACTTACCATGATTCACCCATGGTATATAAATCATCTTCCGCAGAATTCAAAACCACCACCAAAGCTCTGCGAACACCCCGTGGACGACCCTTAAAAAAATGACACCGGTGGTGACCTGTGGTCCATGCCTTGACAATGATACATAAATAATATTCAATATATGAAGTAGATAAGTAGACCCATGTTCAATAATGTTAATTTAATAAAATTCACTATTATACATAAACAATATTCAATAATACTTAGAGTAGACAGTCTCAAACAAATAGGAAAGGAGAAGCTATTTAAAACATTTTAACCAGTGAGTGCAGTTCGATTTCGGCTCCTGATTCACTCCATACGAATGATATGTGAATCAATCAACTCATCAATGGGAATTCCAGGATCCAACAGATGGAGGTACGTTAGTACCATATTCTTGGCCATATTTTGGAGGGATATCCCCTTACATAGCCCTTATATAGGCCTTATATATGGTGCGTACCTCCAGTCAATCGAATCCTGAAATTCCCATTGAATCAATGAAAACACACAAAATCAGGATCTTTCCGGTTACCCTCTGGTTATGACTAACATAGCGAACTGGAAGCCATGGCCAATTTACAGATGATTTTCCCAGCTATAAACCCCAGGGTTAATGGATTTTCCATAGCTATGTTAAATAACCAGATGGTACATATCAAATTTCAATTTCTGCTGACCCTACTCTCTGCCTTCCCACCATGATGACGATCACCACCCACAACAGCTGACACAGTGCCACGTTGACGTTCCATTGATCACGGAGCGTCGAGCGTCTTCCATGAAATGCTGACAATTTAGGGTCCCTAATTGCAGGCAACAAACCACCACCGGAATTGTTGGTGAAATCTGCCCCTGAACGTTGGTTGTGTCTATACCCTCCATGAAGCAATTTTGACGTACGGAATCTCCCCATTGTCGTTGATTGCAAAATGCAAACACTCCCAAATGTTCAATCTGTTATTCATTAATTGGATGTAAGTACCTCCAAATGGGCAGAAACAAACTCCTTGAAAGATAGGGGAACAGAACTACAGTGGCCGAAACATATCAACTAGGTATTAACCCAATACGACATTAAACATATCAACTAGGTATTAACATGTGTTACGCATACCATATAACATGCATCAACCAGTTACTAGGTCCTGCTAGTAATCTAAGGGCACCGCTGCCTGTTGGCCGACTGGGCTCTCGAACTCTCTTCGTTGGAGCCTCACCCTTTCAAGGAATTCCACCTGCGGGCAGAACTTCGGGGGTTGTGTCAGCTATATAGTGAGTGGATGGTAGTGGATGTTGATGGATGTTAGTGGATGCTAATGGATGTTAGTGGATGTATGTGGATGCTGATGGAGTTTATGAACCAACAAGCATAACTGGGTCCAACCTGGCAGCTTATTTCGGGATTCAATCGTGTTTGGGTGAACGAATGGTGGTATGATTTTTGAGACTAAACATAGTCATAATGGAGATGTTTGGGGACATAAGGTAATCACAGGGAAGGAACACACATTGAGACTCTACCTACAAGCATGGAGCCTGAACAAGTACGTTGACATGAATCCACACATTCGAGAGAAAAAAATAGGAACGATGAGACCTAGCAAGGAGCATGTCTGCCTATGAAATCTGTATTCAGCACTTCCGACGTGATTTCTTTTTATCAAAGTTGTTTGAGACCGATGGACCAAGCTGGAACCAACCAACACACACCATCCGGCTTCTTGCAGAGGCTTCCAGTTTCAATGTCGAACTCAGATATATGTTCATATAGGGAGGTTTCCTAAGTCATGGGAATAACCCGAAATCATCCAACAGTAGACCATGTTAGTATTGAAACCTATGGTTTCAGGGGATCCCACCTTTTTAAGAACCCCATATATATATATGTATATGTATATATATATATTATGTATATATATATATATATATATGTTATAATAGAAATTGGGAACCATCATTTTATGGACGCACAATCAAGCAGTTTTGCTGATGAAACCCGGATTTGATGGTTCAAACCACATTTTCCATTGTTAAAATTAAGATGAATCCTCATGTTTGTTGGTGACATTTGGATTTTGATGGGACACACAGAAAAAGTCTTGATGCTCAAATTCTTAACTCGGCCCATCTCTGTTGGTTGACCTCCATACCATACTCTTTATACACCGTATAAACCAACTCGGGGTTATAAACATTAACTTTGGATAACTATGGTTAATATACCAACATATACCAACTATGGTTATGTCAGTCGATCGCAGCTCTTTTCAAAGTGAGTTGGCCTTGTACTGCTGCAGTAAGGCCAATTTCATGAGATCGGACGGTTCTCCCTGCGATCTGTCCTGGGTGCAACTTGCGGCTCGAGAGGGATGCCGTTTCGGGGCACCGCTCAGAGGCCACGATGATTTGGAGATATTGATGATGAACTGTGTATATATATAATTATATATATACATAATTGTATAAAATAATAATAATATAATAATAATATAATAATAATACTACTAAAAATAATTATATGTAATTATATATATATATATATAAATGACATCATGTTAAAATCCCAATGTGTTGCAATAATATAAGGCTCCATCCTGGCCACATCCCCCTGCTCTGGTGGGTTTCTCAAACGGTTTCTCAATCAATGGGAATTGTGGGGATATTCCGTGAAAAATAGGCCTTATATATGGAATCGGTACCTCCAATTTTTATCGGTTCCTGTTGCATGGCCATTGATCATACATACTGCTTGCAAAAAAGAACGGGATCCGCAGTTCATGAGTCATGATAATCCCCAATAAAGGGCAGCATGCTGCCCCCGAAGAAATCGTCAAGCAACCATCGGCTATCAGTCTGATAAACCAGTCTGTAGAAAAGAGAAAAGGGTACCAAGGGGCTATCATATTTTTAGACAAGACCATAACGGATATACCCCAGGTAGCCTCTGGTAATCAAACGTTGCTAGCAGGAAAACCCCCAAATGCAGGTTTATAGCTGGGAAAATCATCAAACTAAATGGAACAACATCCAGCAATAGCCACGCTTGATTACCAGATGGGATATACAACGACAGTGACGACCTACACTCCCTAGCTGGAAGCTTCCCATGAACCTTGGGGCAAGCTTCTTGGTTGTTGGAGTCACGTGGATCACTTAGGTGTGGATCACCACTTGTATCCAGCACTTCATATGGTGTCTTAAAATAAGGCTACACCCCCAACATCATCAATTTTTATCTATATATATATATATATATGATTTTCCACGAACAAACCATCCAAATTTGGTGGATCCTCACACCGTGGGTTCCCCGGCCGCCGCGTGTGTGACCGGCGCCACTTTTTTTGGTGGTGCTGGTGGTTTTGGGCCTTGGACAGCGATTCAAGCGGAGGTACGCGGCTACACGTAGCCTCTGGTAAAAGTGACATAGCGAAGTGGAAAATCACCATGTTTAATGGGTAAGTCAACTATAAATGGAACTTTCAATAGCTCAATAGCTATGTTAGTTTGCCAGATAATAAGACATAAGAAGTCCCCCAAAAATAAAACATATTCACTATAGATTCCCCAAATGGTGGATTTTCTATTGAGAAATAACAAATCACCTTAAACAAACCAGGTAAAGGCAAAATCAACTATGAATCGCAATTAGTCAATTGCCAGATTGTATTTTTGAAGGCTAAATCAACTATAAATTGCCATTTTCAATTACCAGAGGGTATTAGTTGGGTCATTACCCCATCAATGATGCTTAAATGGAGGTGGGATGCACAACTAATGATGTTTCTGATTTGCTTTTGATGTTTTACTGCTTCGTTAATGGGTATTTCTGTTGTGGATTTGCTCACAATCCCTATCAAACCAAGTAACCCACCATAACAACCAACCATCATTTGGCTGTTTGAACAGGTTCATGCGCGGGTTTATGTGGAAGTAGGATACCCGGAATACCAGTGCTTTATCACGACTTGTTTAAAACGACCATTTGCGGCATACTCCTTTTTGAGACACCCAACTATCATATTCTTGGTTATGTATTGCAATTTCACATACTGTAACTATAGAAAATACGCATGTTTAATAGGTAAATCATGGTAAATCATCCGTCAACGGACCATTTTAACCATGGCCATGTAAGAAAAAATCCCTTCCTCTTGACATCACCCAAAATTGGGGCCCGCCACCGTCACTGGACGATTTTTCCGAGTCCGATTCCTGGCATCATCAACTCCTAGGGATCTATGGTTGACCCAGTCGTCAAGATAGCTTTAGGTGAAATCCAATCCGGAAATCATGGTTTTTCATAGCGTGGGTAATTATGTTAGTGGTTTAAAATTGGTTTTTAAAAGTGGGTTAAATTAGTAGTTTCTATATATTTTTGGAGGTTACTTTGAAATATTTCACCTGGATCCAATTACTATGAGCTTCAAGAAGGGATATAATGACGATATTTCATGGGCATGTAATGAAGTTTAACTGGGGATTATGGCTGAACAACAAAACTAATATTAGTTCACCAATCTGAAATAAGGTCATCATGGGGAATGTTACGCCTACTAACCATCATTAACCATCATTATAGTGAGGTCGCGGCGTGAAGTCGTTTGAACTTACCCCAATGGTCCATGTTAACATTTACATACGTGTTTTTTTTCGTCATATCCGGACAAGCACATGAAAAAAAAACAACACATGAACCGATATTCACATGTTCCATTGGCATGTCGCTCAATGAGAAAACGACAAAATCTGATTGGTGGCTTCAATCCGGAGTGTTCATTGGGGATCATCGGGCCCTGGTTGAACAGAAAAAAACACATTTCAAACCAACTACCCTCTGGTTATTTAACATAGCGAACTGGAAAATTGCCCATTTGTAGATGATTTTCCCAGCTATAAAACCTCCATTTATAAGGGATTTTCCATGGCTATGTTAAATAACCAGATGGTAGCCAATCAAAAAACTACAACTTGGGACCGCCCAGGTATGTTTGTTGCCAATTCCCACTATCTATTTAAGTTATAAGTGCAGTCATAATCAATCATTACCATCCACGCTGTTATCTACCCAAAGTATATGAGGAATTATGAGGATATTAACAAGATACACCCAGTTATCTACCCTAAGTATATAAGGTACATTGGTAGCTAGCCATTGTCATGACTGAACCTAATATATCATAGTAGTTTAACTACCAATGTATCTAATATTATACTACATATATATATATATATATATTTATACATATTAGAGTTACCTAAACTCTATTTGCAATCAACTAGCTCAGCTATCGCAGTGCCTCAGAATCCTCGGTGGAGATGTTCTCGGTCTCCGGGTCCTGGGAATTCGACAGCTCCTTGTGGACCTTGACAGTTAAGCTAACACGAATTAACAGCCAAAAGCATATGATAGCTAACTACAGTGATAATTTATGTAATTCGTTTGTTGTAATATATATATAAATATATATATATATAATATATACATATAATGGTTAATAATAGCCAAACAAACACTAATAACCACGATCTGCGATTAACTACCAACAAAAACACATATAGAGGGACCCTACGATTTTTCCCGTAGGACCATATGCATTGTGAATGGTATGCAGCAATTCGAACATAGAACAACAATGCAAATATGAGTGTAAAGCAATGATTTGGTCATTTAAGTGATATGATATATTGATAGATCATATTAGACTAAGATCATGTGAACTATTTTAAGAGTACCAACAGTAGCTATGGATTTTCCAAGCATGGTACCTATGGTTTCAAGTAGCCCACAGATTCCATGGATTCCGTGGATGGGATAAGCCACAAATGGACAAATCGACTGGTGCGTTTTACGATTCGGGAATTTTCGGGAATTTTCTCCATTTCATCACTATCAAAACAACAGAATCCCATTTCATAATCCCAGCAACCCATACAGCAACCCATACATGAACCCTACGTAAAACGCAGCAGTAAGAACAGGCTTGCTAACCACGTAGTCAGTGGGATGATTCTCCAAATATGTGATATTCCCTGAGCTTCTAATGGGTCACAGTTGGGCAACCTTGGATTTCCATAGATCATCGCTGAAACCATGCCCACAACCCGCACTAACTTCCATAGCAACTTCCAGTTTCGGATGTTATATCCCAACTAACATTGTATAACAAAACATTGCACATATCATATATCCGTAACACCCAGAACTACCTGGCAGGCATAGCCAACAGATTGGCAATCCTCTGTCTCGCTGGCCCATTGGTCTTCACTGAGATCACTCACTGAATTCTCACAATGTATTATCGATAGTACACTATATAATATACTATATATATAAATTCTCTGAAATGCACAATTAACAACATATCCTGAAATTCACATCAATTAGCAACATAGCTTATGTCAAAAAGTCATTAAACCTAGTTAACAACCATATATATATATATAGTTACCATATCGGTTATATTAGGTCATAAACCTAACGTATGGCTTAGTTTCACGCCCCAGCCGGACTCATCTCCTCCAAGAAACGCGCCTTCTTGGCACTCGATGCCTCGTGCAGAAATGGCCAATCTGATTCAACCAATCTGGTGCCAATAACTCTAATAACAGTGGTTTTTGATACTTATAACTAACCATTCATGGGGTTTATAAACCAACGAACATCGCTGGGGGCCCCACAGTTCATAAGTGTTCTTGTTTTGCCATAATTGTCTGATTACTAGCGAGCTAAGCTGTAAACTGGGTGTGTCTGAAAGTGGGTTATACGCAAAAAAATGCAATGTTCAGGGACATATGAGCATAAACCTGCACAATTTGAGGTACCCTATTTTTACGCAAACCCGTGCAATGTGGGGCCCCCTAGTTGTAAGTTAGTTCATAACATGGGGTAACTTAAGTTATAACGTAAGTTTAAAGTTTTAAGTATGGTTAACTATGTAAGAACTCAGCCAACTTAAAAATTGAGATAACCTCTGGATACAAAAAAAATATGCAAAACAAGTTAGCTTTTCGTGTCACAAATTTGGAGCATCTGTTGGCCAGCCGATAAACTCAGCTGTTTTTGGTGGTTTGAGCGAGGCCTTTTGTTGAGCGCCATGGCTGAAGCTGCAAATCAGCAGATTCGCAGGGAGAACATGCAGGATTATAGGATTTTTCCGCTGTTCATGAGACAGGAGATTTTGGATGTTCTCCTTAACGGGCAACGAAGAGGACAGTTATGGAAACGGCAGGTAAGCAGTACAAGTAGACAGTTGCATGAACCTTGCTGTACAAACTTGAAATTGAAACTGCAATAGAGAAGAGCAAAGGAGCGCTGGAGAGGAAACTCGCTTGTGTTTCCTCCAAAAATATGTGTTTTCCTTGACACTCGTATGTGTTTCCCCTTTTAAATAAAAAGTAACCAATAAACGCTGTTGTGTTTCCTAACCAAGCTAGCAATGTAGATGGAAAACGCGAATGTGTCCAAAAAGTGTTTCCCCATGGAAGTGAGGAAACAATCAAAAGAGCATGTGTTTCCTTGAACAGCAGGGAACGCGATTGTGTTTTCAGGCCAAAGTCAATGAAGGGACAGGAAAAACAGTTGTGTTTTCTATTGAAAACACAAATAAGCAGGAAACGCGTATGTGTCATAAATGAGTTTCTTTGTGTTTCCTTGCCGCCGAGATTTTTGTAGTTTTTTGCAATATTACAAAGTTGTTTCCAATCACCGAGGTGCTTCGTACAGAATCTTCAAACATAGCAAGGAAAAAGAAATGGTAGATTATCAAAACTCGGTGAACCTACATGTGCCAGCTCGGACCACCGCTAAAAGCGAGGCGGTCATGTGCTTGCCGTGAAGAAACACCACTTTGCAAGGTAAAAAAAATGCAAAACATTGAAATGGAAACCACAAAAAAATAAAAAAGAAGCGACACATGGTAAAAAAATATCGAAAATAAAACTTGAGTTATAACACACCCTGAAATAACTTAGCATAATTTCAACTTATTTTTTTAAAGTATACGTATATGTCCCTTAATTTCAAAGTAACTTGGGGGCCCCACATTGTGTGGATCTGTCATTTCTTAAAGGTGGGGATATCATCAAAATAACATGAGTTTTAACCATTAAACACGAAACATGGAAGATATGAGAAGGGCTGAAACAGAAACAAAAAACATCAAGAAATCATACGGTATGTACAACTGATATGAATAACAGCGGAGATAGAACCAGCAAAAATGTGGACAAACCAAGACACATGGGGATAGAACCACGCGGACACTGGGCACCAATGGACCCACACGGTGCTGGTCACCCGAGTCCAAACTAATGGAAGTCTCTTTATGCGCGTTTGGAGGTGTTCAACAACAAAACATGGTTGGAAATTGATCCCAACCAGAAGCAGATATGGAAGAGGAACAGAAAGACAACACTGTCCATTTATCATCCCTGTAGGTTTCTAATCCAAATGGTTTCACCAGTCTCATCAGGTTTCAATGAATCCTTCGGCTACCGATCAAAACTCAGGAATTTGATGTGATTTGACCATCATTCTAGATGGGTACACTATCATATGAGTTGGGTACCTGATTTCTTTGAGAATAATATTTAGGTGGTAAAGTGCATGTCGAGACCGACCTATATAGAAAACCAATGGTTTGTTTTGCAGCTTTGCTAAAGCTATGTTGAAGCCAAATAATTTTCTCAATCCATCCAACCCCCATCAACCCAAAAACACGGTAACACGGATTTAGAGGTCAATTTCTACATCAGACGACGAACAGTTTCAAGAGCCTTGTTTTTCCATCTCGCATGTGGTCGTCATGTCTCACTTAGACATGTTGTGGCGATAGATCCACTGATAGATTCTATCCCAGAATCTAGCATTGATGGTTGGGCCAGTGCGGTTCTTCATCTGACTGGGGCATTTTTTTTGAGGTGGTTCCAACAACTATCAATCTGTTGGGTTCCTGCAACTTTCGTCTTTCCTTGCATCCGGACCTTCCGAGTCCATTCATTACGCATGTGGACCACCGACTTCACAACGTAGCAACCCTGCAAGAACGTTACATCAACGTAGCACTGCCTAGATGTGCAACCGTGCAAGAACGTTACATCAACGTAGCACTGCCTAGATGTGCAAGCGTGCAAGAACGGTACATCAACGTAGCATGACGTAATTCCGCAAGCGTACATGGACGTTATTAGCCCACCCCACCCCACCCCACCACCCCCCACCTATACTATATTATACTATCCATGTGCGGTGACATGAACAATCTCAACGCCTACACGGTTGTAGAAATACGTGTCACCACAAACATGCCCATTCAATATACGGCCGGGGCTCCATTTTGAGAGCCAAATATCAATCATATTGTTGGCTCGAACTATCCCATAAAATAGCTCAAGTCTATTCTATGCTATATCTTTCACAAACAGATTATTGGCTCCATATTCATCTATATTCCATAAAATAGATTGAAATATCCCATGAGTTCATCTCCGGCTGGTTCTATCCCATTAGTTCATCTCCATTGCATCCCGTCCACAAGAAAAATCTCATGGTCCAGGCCTTAGACACCTTTGAGAGCCCGGTGCCGGAGCGTTCCAAGTAAGGCACCTGCCCCATCCATCCCCATCCCTGAAAATCATGGTTAGATAGGGTTAGTTACTAATGAATACTAATGATACTAATGGCTATAAATGGAACATTCGCATCAATTAGCCTCTATAGTATTCTATAGTGGTTAAACTATGTCAAACATTGTCAAACTAAAAATAGCATCCGTACTAATATCTGGTGAGTTTCATTTCTATTCATGGTTCTATTCATGGAATTGCTTGATCGAATTCGTGTGAAAACAAGGGGCGATCTAACCCGATCTAACCGTCTCGGGGAGATTCCCCTGCGGATTTCACCATACCCTGCGGCGTCAACATGGCTGGAGTATCATCCGCGTTAAGTCGTCAATGGAAGAATTTCTATAGGGATTGCCGCTAGGGAATACCATCTGGTTATGACTAACAGCAATAGCCATGGAAAATCACCATTTTTGAAAGGAAAACTGGAAAACCATCTATTTCTATTGGTCATTTTCCATGGCTATGTTAAATAACCAAAGGGTAACATTGTAGGGGAATCATCATATCAATGGTTTCAATCCCCCATAGGGGAAATTATATATCAAACATAGCTGGAGAATCCCCGACCACATACATGATAAATTCTCCCCTGCCATGTTAGATTACAGTAGCGGAACTCGGCAAGAAACAAATCACATGTTTTTTGGGGCTTCCCATGGGTCAGGTCATCTTGGACCAATGTGGTATACCGACCATAGGATGATCCCACTTAATGACTCAAAAACCCTTAAACCATGGTGAGTTCATTCCCGTTGTGCATCTGCATCAACGGATCATCAACGGATAAACCGACCCAGGGGAGACTTACCAACATTCAACAACCTTACCAGCACACCGTTGTATTTGGCCATGAATACAGTCAACCACCTGAAATTGTTGGAGGATCATCCAATTGGGATTCTGAAATCTCTGGAATAGCTCTGCATCTTACAAAAATTGCATCACCATTCAAACAAATCCAGCTAGAAGATCCCCCATTTAGTTCGTGGATTTTCCAGCTTGTCGGCTTGTCGTGTTTGAGGACACCGGAGAATACTGGATCTCGGGTCGTGAGATCAAAAATTGATCAAACCAGCCTTGCTGCTTGTCAAAGCATTTGTTTTTTGTTGCTGAAGTCTCCTTGTTCAATATGTTCACACGTTAAACCCAAAATTATTGTTGGTTAAATTTGGTTCAGTGGGTTCTTGCCCTGTTCAAAGCCCCACGTTTCAGAAGTATAAAGGTCCCCAACAACATGGACTGCAATTTCTGTCATGAAAAGACCACCATCTGGTGGGGAATCATTCAAGCGCTTGATCATCAGTGGGGTCATCATGCAGGTCATGGAATTTCAAAAACACTTCAAAAATCAAAGTTGGCACCATCAAAACAAAAAAATGACTCAAAGCTGCTGCATGGCTGCGATGTTCTGAGCTCACAGGCCTTGCTGGTAGCCCTGGGAGCCTTGATGGCCTTATTGCCACCATCGCGCTGCAAAGGTGGCTTTGCTTCGCAGTTGGACATCCACGGTGAGGACATGATACCCACGTCCACAGTTTCCTGCTGCCTAAACAGTCCCCACCTTTTCAGGCCCTTCACCTTGAAGATGTTCGTTCGTCTCTGACCTGGAACCTTGTTGATCAAGGAATTGACAAGTCAGATGCTCCGCGTTTGTGAGATGCTGAGTGCACAACTTCGCCGCCAAAAAGGATTACCATCTGGTTATTTCACATAGCCATGGAAAATCACAATTTTTAATAGGTAAACCATCTATAAATGGGCCATTTTCCATGGCTATGTTAAATAACCAGAGGGTATCATATACAGTGAACTCGGCTCACGTCTAAAAAAACACCAGATCATCATTGGATCCCCAAAGCTCCTCATCATTGATCATGTCGCCATGGGGACCCCAGCACTCTGCTGTCCAGAAAATAGGTAGAGCTGGATGTTCAACCCATCTATTCATCAATGTTGTTCTTTATCATATATATACTGCTTGTTTCGGGCAACCCCAAATCATTTCACTCCCCATGTTTGATGATTCACTCCCCGTTTTCATTCGCAAGTCCCACAAGTCTTGCAAGTGGCTCCATGATTCTCAATCCCAAATGTCATACCCTCTGGTAATTTAACATAGCCATGGAAGCCATGGCCGATAGAAATAGATGGTTTTCCTATTAAAAATGGTGATTTTCCATGGCTATTGCTGTTAGTCATAACCAGATGGCATTTGAAATCGTCATTCTGATGGTGACATCCCAACATCATCCCTGCCATCTTCACCGCTTTTATCGATGGTGGGATCCCCTCCCTTCTCCTCGCCTTGGATTTCAAAGAAGAAAGGCCAGTGCCCGATCGCTCCAGTGGAGGCTGCCGGTAAAAAAACATGGGCACATTTTGGAGACAAAGTACAGTTATGGCCATTTATCAGTTTTAAGTACTAAGAAACCCCCATTTATAGAATGTATAATCCCATAGTAATAACCAGTTATAACTGGTAGCCATGGCCATAACTGTAGGGACATCATGGGGATAGAATTGGGGATATATATAACCAGGAACCTCACTGGCTACTGACACTTAAATTGGGACAACTAAAGAAATATTAGGGGTATGATGAAGGGATACAACTGAATAATTATATACTATATCAGAATCTGACAATGTTGGTTTGTGCAGAACTGGAGATTGCATGGGAAATAATGATTTACGCACCAAGTATGGGGATGTTTCATGGGATTTCTGTGAGTAAAAAAAAGCCGAGCATATGATACTGTAGTTGGGTTTGCCCGGTTTTATGAAGTATACTGATGTTTAATATGGAGAATCTTCAAAGACCACTGAATTTAGGACAACACTTGTCTGGTTGGTGGTGCAATAACCATCTTGAAAAATATGAAAGTCAATGGGAAGGATTATCCCATATATTATGGAAAATAAAAAATGTTCCAAACCACCAACCAGTTATTATTTGGTGTATGACTGGGTACTGACTGTTGATGGCTTGGTCTTGAAGAAATTCTGCAGGAAAGTCCGTTGCTTTTACCTCCAAATGAGGGGCATTTTGCTGGAACCAACTCTGGGATTCGGAAAATCAGCAGGACAACCACCAAAGATTGGCAATACAACCTGCAAAATGGATATGGTGTTCATGGATTTACCAACAATGTGTGGAAACAATCATGACTGGGTACAGCTTTTTTTTCTAATCAGGGAAATCACAAGCTGTGTTTGTCCAAGCATAGGGAAAGGCATAAAACTAGCATCAATGGGGATATACTGGGCTTATACAGTACATATGTATATATATATATATGTATATATACACAGTATATTATGTAAATAAACCAGCTTCCTTTAACATACGGACATGCGTACACCAAAATGGCAACGTTCATAAGAAATCATGATCTTTGCCATTGGACTTTAGGGCCTATTTCAGACCGCAAGGGGATGCAACTTTATAAACCCCTCTAAGTAGAGTTACCATATGTTACCATTACCATAGCCTCATAGACTCTTATAGTAGTCACTAGCTACTTAGCAACATCAATCTGGGTAAATTATAATATTTCACTAACCTGAATTAAGGCCATTTTGGGATGATTTCCCTTATTAACCATGATTCCAGTGAGGTCGCAGTGAGGTCGTTATAATTTACCCAGATCAATCAACATCAATCAACTGGAAGCTCCCACCTTTCTGCGGGTGATGTTTGTCCCCTTTCCCTTGGTGAAATCCAGGCTTTGGGGCACCTTGGAGAACTTCGAGGACAGGCCCGTGCCCGAACGTTCAAGCTGAGGCGCCTGGTGTCGTTCATGACTTGGAATGACTTGGATATACTTGGATGATTTGAGGTATATGGTGGCTTAGGAAACCTCCATATTAGGTGATGGATAACTTCATGAATGTGACAACAAAAAAGGCCTGAAATCAAGCCCCAAGTGGTCATTATATAGCTGAAATTTCTGGCTGGAAGGTGGGGTTTCCAGCTTGGGAATCCTTGACTCACCAACATGGATGGCCTCCCATCCGTGCCGATCGATTCACCACAACCCTTCGCATCTAGGCCTGGCAGAGAATTGCCTGTTTCACGAACATCAGCCGGTATTGTAAGTACATCAGCAACTAATTTGACTCAACCCTCTTTTTTTTTGGTGCCTTACAAAATCGCTGAGCTGAACCCCGATCAACGGTTCATGATCAGCCAGTTTGGCTTCATCTAATTCGACATCCGGACTGTCCGGACTTGTGGCTGAATTCCTTAGATTCCCACCACCCCAGATGCGGGAAAAAATGGTAGATTAGTAGATAATTTAGATAAAATATGATAAACAATTGATTAAATGACCCATTGTTCATCTACTTTCCCTATCATGTGCCGTCCAAAAAATGGCTTGGAGAAACCTTTTTCTTCTGGGACCATAGCCGCGATAGCCTTGTCTCGAGGCAGGTCTGCAGCGAGCATCGCCTCGAGCTTGGCAGGCAGCATTGATCAAAGAAGCTCAAGTGGGAGTTGGTTATGTGATAAATCCCATCTACCCTCTGGTAAACGTTTACATAACTATGGAAAATCACCATTTTCAATGGGAAAATCAACTATAAATGGCAATTTTCAATAGCTATGTTAAATTACCAGAGGGTAAACCCAGAAAACTCTCAAAATGTGTGTTCTGTTAAGAGAAAAGAAGGAAGGAAGTGATGAGATGTAGCTATTGAACTTGAAGGCAGTAGGTAATTGATTGTCGTTGACGAGCAAACAGCCGACATTGGACCAGCAGAAGACAAGTATATATCCAGCAAAAATTGGTAATTTAACAGAACAACACGTATGGATTTCAATCAAACAAAAATTGGGAGCCAGCCAACAACAATAGGAATTTCACCAACAAGAAAGGGGGACTACAACAAGAAAATTGTGGCAAAGGCCGACGAAAATATACACACACGGTGTCTTTCATGGGCATTTGGGGAAATCCCCAAGTCCGTTGTGCTTGTTAGATGTCCGTTGCTGTTGCTGAACTCTATACATTCGCGACAACTTGGATGGTTGAATGCTAAGCCTTACTGAGCATGACCATGTTTTTGTGGATCCATTGGCAACCAACTTTGCACAATAGTAATAGCTGTATGTAAATGTGTATATAGAATATACATGTCATAATATGGTAAATCTCCACTTCACCAAGGATGGCGGGGTAGAAGCAACCTTCAGTTGAAGGTGTGTTATTGCCTTTGCCACAATAAATCTCCTTTACGAACGGGAATAACCCTGGTCTATGATACATCTAAAACAACTTTAACACATGTGAAAACCATATATTCGTAAGCGAATAGTGTATTGTGATTGCCTCTGTAAAAAAAACGCCATAGAGGGCATGTCCCTCTTTGAAGCACACCATCCCATAATATGGTTGATTACATCTATATTTCCATTTCATCCCCATTGTTTCCCTTAAACTAGTGATTGAACCCCATCAAATCCACACGTTTGCTGATTAAAAATTAAAACCCACCAAAGATCGTGAACAAATTGACATTAGAACATTTTGGAACCATCTGAAATCCAGGTTTCGTAAAAAAAAACATCAAATATCCCATTGGCTCATGTAATAACCCATATGTTCATCTGCTTTTCCCGAGTTCAACACATTTTGCCGCCTTGGAGAGCCGCGAGTCTGACCTTTGCAGCACCGGCACCTGGAGCTGCAAAAGAACCAGAGATTCCCCGAAAGAAATCAGGTGTTATCAGGTATAAGAGGGTATCACTAAGTGATATGAATGGTGAAATTTACTCGAACAACGTATCAGCTGCAGTTATGGCCATTTATCAGTTATAAGTACTAAGAAAACCCCATTTATAGAATGTATAATCCCATTTATAACCAGTTATAACTGGTAAATGGCCATAACTGTGTGGTAAATCTGAGCACCAAATCGCTGGCGAGTTATCGGCACCTTGGAAAAGCCGCTGGAGAGGCCGGTGCTGCGGCCGCGCTCCAAAGGTGACGCCTTTCCACCGAGCCCAGGAGCCGGAGGGGTTGGAAGGTCAATGTGGCAGCCACCCTGAGTTAAACATATTTATAGTCTATACTACTATAATCTACTATACATATCTAATATCTAAGTAACTAAAAAAAGGTGACAATTTGCAAGTAACTCATGATTTTGTGGATGTATGACAATGAGATACTGTCTGAGTGTAATAGTTAAAGATTAGATAACTACAGACGCATAGAAAGCACACGAAGCAAATAGTAGTGACCAAACGTGGGGGTAGAAAGCAAACATGGTAGATGCCAAGTAGCCAACAGAACTGGTTCCTCCTACTTCATACAGCCGCAAAATAACACAACCACCAGATCTTGGTTGCAGCTTGTCATTGGTGCCTTGCAGATAAGCACAACACCTACAGTGAGACTTGACGTTTCTCTAAAGTGATATAGTGAACAAGAGTCAGACTTCAGTAAAATTGGCCACCCAACATGAACCCACCCACATAGATTGGTTTAACCGACTCAGCCAATGACCCTCCTGACGGATCTCATTGAAGCCATGATTTGGAGACTGTACTTCAACATTACGACATTATACCAAACTTGTAGCCGGTTCTGGTGACTTTCAGCCATGTGTTAAGTCTTGGAGCTCAGTCTGAAACGCTTGGTCAAATCTGGAATCCCCAACTTCTCTTGATTCCCGATCTTTTCTTTTCCAAGCCTGAAATGTTCAATAATTTTCATGGCAATTCATCTGGGTAAATTATAATATTTCACTAACCTGAATTAAGGCCATGAATGGGGATGATTTCCCTAAACTTAACCATGATTCCAGGGTTCGGTCGCGACGTGAGGTCGTGATGAAATCTACCCAGATCGATCATCAGATCACCATAATATTCCCATTGTTGTTGGTTTATAGCCTATGAACCACTATTAACCATCACTATTAACCACTATTAACCATCAGTTAACCATAAATTAACCATTGGTACATCTTCCATTTCCCCTTCGGACTTTCTGGATCTCACAATGTTTCCTCCTCCGGCCTCCGGATCTGGAACAGCCCCAGGAATGCTCGGAGGCTCCACCACCTTCGGATTTGTGAGATTCGAATCCCACGTCCTAAACCTAGGGACCTGGTACCCCCCCAGTGATGTGAACGTTGGTTTATAAACCATAGGAATAGTATAGATATATCTACCATAAACCATAGTGAAATTGGAGTTAGCTATGCACCAACTGAACGCGATGAATCGCTCACTGAGGCACCACCTTGCAGTGGATTTGTGGTGAGTGGAAACCCTTTGGATTAGGAGATAGAACATGATAGAAATTAGAAAATCCCTAAACCCTAAACCTGATGGATTTAAACTTTCTCTAAAGACCATTTTGGGGGTTGCCAAGAGACAAATCGACCAATGTGGTGGAACTGGGTCCGATCGTCTGGATCAGGATTTATGACAACTTCACGAGGTCATGTTGAATCTCGGCGGATTTCTGACTTTTTATGAACCACAAAAACATCCTGCGGGAGGTGATTGACCTACCCCTCTGAAAAATGATGGAGTGAAAGTCAGTTGGGATGATGAAATTCCCACTATATGGAAAAATAATCCAAGTGTTCCAGTCACCACCAACCAGTTATCAATCACCATTAATCACCAGTATTGACCATATTATTCTCCATTTTTTAACCACTATGAACTATTATTCACCAACCAGATAATTAACCCCAAAAACATCTGATGTCAATTGATTTCTACTGCCTATCTATGGGCTTCCAACCAGCAGCCGACCAGGAATGAGACCGACCGACCAGAGATGTGGGCTTATGGAATGTTTACGGTCATCCCGTGTTGGGAATCGTCGCAAAGCATGACTTAAAAAATGTCAAGAAACCTAAGGCCTCTATAAATATTATATAAATGGATTAATGACCATATTAAATGACCATAATATATATATATATAATGACCATATTAATTATTAATTTATTAAAGTCCCATCCATAAATTGATTTTTCTGACCATCCATGGGGGCTAACCATCGAACCCTGGATGCCGAGTGGAAATTGAAGGATCCCTTGATGAAAAGCTTGAGATTCTGAACGTGAATTCAATTCAAAGTTCTGTGTGCATTTCTGTAGTTGTATAATTGTATAGTTTTGTACAGTTGTACAATTCTTCAGTCCTCACAGGAAAAACCACTCCACTCACCCAACGAACTGCATGATCTTCATATTGAGCAACTGAAGATGATTCCCCAAAATGCCAATCCGCGATCCACAAAAACATGTAGATATGAATCGGAACAAACATATGAGAGAAACACTGTTCAAACTATTCAAATAGTATTCAATAAAGCATCCAAGCTATAGTAAAATATAGTAAACCATAATTTATATTGTGTGATAGCACACACACACAAATAAAACACATTCAACATTATTCAAGCATCATGGTTGAAGATGTATTGCAAGACAGCTGACAAGCCTTAGACTTTCAACCATGTCATGACTGTTGGATCTGATTCAGCGACTTGGACACGCACACACACACACACTCACTCGCACATTTTGGGCCTGACCAACACACTTGGCTGGTAGGAAACTTGTCGCTGGGATATATCCCAGTTCCCAACCACGATCGCATATCACGGGATGTCACTCCAGATCACGATCTTGATTTGCACTGCTACTTTGGCAATGCCACAGATCTGCAACAGTGGTCTCTGGATTAGCTCGGTAGAGTGAGGCCAGCAACTGTCCACTACGCAAAACAGCTCGAAGACACAGAAGGTCCGTCTTCAGTTCACATGCGATGCGTTCGTGAATCTTCAAAAGCGAATCAGAGCCACTGACCTTCAAACGCGACACCTCCTGCCCAGCCAAACTGGAGCATGTCAGTTCCAAAACATCAACGGCATCAGCAGCACCCATGGAACTTAGATCAAGTTGCAAAACAACATCTCGACCTAATGGCTTCCGATCGCAAATGTAACGAGTTCCAGGTTCGGGTAAGGGAATATTAGTCTCGTCAGAGAAATTGCGTCCGGCGGGGTCAGAGAAATTGCGACCGCACGCCACGGCACTACCATCACTTCGGAGAAGCACGGTATGAAACCAACCTGCAGAAACTTGAATATACGACAGTCCTTCATGCAAAGATGGGATGTCACATTGTCCATGTTCATTGTCCCCACATGCAACAGCACAGCCGTCACTTCGGAGAAGCACAGTGTGGTTCCTGCCAGCAGTCACTTGGGTGTATGACATTGCTTCAACCAAAGGTGGAATGGTGCATTGTCCATCATTGTTCAGGCCGCATGCAGAAGCATGGCCATCACTACGGAGAAGAACGGTGTGATAGCCACCTGCAGAGACTTGGGTGTATGACATTCCTTCATCCAAAGATGGAATGTTTCGTTGTCCGCAATCATTTCCAGCGAATGCAACAACATTGCCATCACTTCGAAGCAACACGATATGAGACCGACCTGCAGACACCTGGATGAACGTCTGTCCCATATCCAAAGGTTGAACGTCCTTTGGAGCAAACCCAAAGCCACAAAGAAAAGCCTTGCCATCGCTTCGGAGAAGCACTGTATGCCTCTCACCAGCTGAAACCTGAATGTATCGCATCCCTTCAAAAGGAGGGAGAGGAGGGAGGCTACATTGTTCATCATCGTTTCTTCCACAAGCAACAGCACAGCCATCACTTCGGAGCAGCACGCTATGGGCCCTGCCTGCTGACACTTGGGTGTATGACATTCCCTCATCCAAGGGTGGAAGATCGCATTGTCCAAAATCATTTCGTCCGCAAGCGACAGCCCGGCCGTTGCACTGCAGCAGCACTGTATGAAACTGGCCAGCGGAAACCATTCGCCCAGAAAGAAACACTCTATGAGAATCTGCAGTTGCTTAAGAAAATGCTGGGGTTGGCTGTGACCCCCTTGTTCCAACATGTTCCAATCTGTGGTTGCTTTGTCTGAAAAATGTAGCGTGCAATGGGACACCATTAAGATCCTGTGCTTCAAACGTTGCATACTTCAATTGGGCAGCTTTGAGAGGTCAGACATGGAGCATGTGGCATCATGGACCTTCCCAGGCAATGCGTTCCGAGCCAAAGGGGAATACAAGCTAATTGAACTTGTTACTTGGCAATTTTTCTGGATGGATCCTTTGCAAGGTCCGACATTCTGGGTGTCACCAGCCATGAATGCAGGATTCGATTGCGCAAATTGAACAAGTCATCCCCAAGTCACCAACAAATCATCCAAATCATCTTAGTATTGAAACGACCATGGTGACGACTGGGGATCAGTGAAGAAACCCCCAGCGGGCCTGGTGTACGAAGCCATGCCCCGCCGGCCCCAGAGAGCCACCCCCGCCCAGCACGGGTGCGCGGGGTGCGGGGCCTGCGAAAAAGTGGACGAGATATGAGTATTAGATGGGTAATAGTGATTTTGGTTTTGGATACAATTGAGATATAATGAGGAGATCATTAGGAATATTAGGAATATATATATATATACTATATGTATAATTGGTATATTATGATATAATTGAGATATATAATTGGGATATAATTGGTATGTTATGATATATATATATATACATAATATATAAACTAATATAATATAAACTATATAAAATACTATAAACTAATAAAATATATAATATAATATAATATAAACTAATATAATAATAATATATATATAATTAGAATATTCATCTGGGATGTAATCAAACATGGCTCGCTGGAAGACTCTCCATTTAGTTCGGGGATTCCCCAGCCAGGTTTGATGACTGGAGAGCAATCAGCACAACGTGCCGTGCTTTGGCACATTACAGAAATGATGGATTTACCCTTCAAGAGTGTATCAGTCGCGGAAATTCATGAACAAAACATGGGAATATCAATGAATATCTGGTTGGTGGTTTACCTACCCCTCTGAAAAATATGAAAGTCAGTTGGGATCATGACATTCCCAACTGAATGGAAAAATAGAACATGTTCCAAACCACCAACCAAATAAGGAACATCCTACATGTTAAGGACCTAATAAGGAAAATCCAAAATGGGAATATCAATAAATATCAATGAACATAAGCAACTACAGTTATGGCCATTTATCAGTTATAAGTACTAACAAAACCCCATTTATAGAATGTATAATCCCATAGAAATAACCAGTTATAACTGGTAAATGGCCATTAATGGGGGCAATATCAATAAACATCATTCAGGATGTTGCTCATTCAGTTATGTTGTGACAGAGATCCAAAATGGGACGGACTCCCCATCGCCTCGGCCTGGACTGTCCTGAACGAGCATGAGAAGGCATTGAGAACATCATGGGAACAATGGATGTTAATGGTAAATCATGGATGAATCATGGATGAATCATGGATGAATCATGGGAAAATACATGGTAAATGGATGTAAATGGATGTAAATCATGGTAAACAATAGTGGATCATAATGGGAAAACAACCAACATAATGGATGAATAATGAAGAATGGGGACTTAGCCTCCGGTAATTTGTTACATAGCTGTGGTATAGATGGATTCTTTTTAGTTCGATGATGTACCTTTTTTTGAAAGTGGTGATGTTATTTTTTTTGCGAACTGTTAAATTACCAGAGGTTGTATGTTCAGACAAATCCATCTGCCAAAAATGTGCTTTGCAAAATCCCGCACCTGATGTAACATTGCCAGATGCCCCTTGTAACTATGGAACATGTTACCAACATTGACCTTCAAAATGATTGTTATATTATGTAATATGTGGGTTGGAAGTCACTCTAATTCTCCTGTTCCTAAAGGTGAAATTCTCTGAAACTTTCCTGTTGGAACTTTTTGCACACTCTTTCTTTCTAGTGGTTGAATCAATTTTCCATGATCAAACCATGTCACAAGGATTTCCCCATAATTTAAATGCTTCAAAATGGTTCAATGCTTCCATGCCATTCTTGTTGCTTCCCCAGCCAACTTCAAGGTCAAATTCACTCCGTACTGCAGTCCCAAGTGTCCATATTTGCGAGCCGACGTCACGCGATATTTGCGTGTGCCTGTCACAGGGCCAGGAATGGGGTTTGAGCCTATCCCCCATTTGTATGAAATATCACCTTTGAAACCGTGGTTGTGTATTTTGCATGGGGATGTATTGGGTCTAGCCATTTTGGGGGTCTCTTCTGGGATTCTTTGTACCATCTGGTTATTTAACATAGCCATTGGAAAATCACCATTTCTAATAGGTAAACCGTCTATAAATGGGCCATTTTCCATGGCTATGTTAAATAACCAGAGGGTGTATAATCTGCGAAAAGGATCATAGATTTGCAACTAGAGGAGATCCACCACATGATGGATCTGGCGGCAACTGGAGCGTGGGATTGTAGTGGGTGCACCGAACAAGGCATGCTCAGTGGGATTTCAGACTCGCTTTGAAGAATCCACAACATCATGATGAAACACCCATTTTGGGTTTTCGTCTGAAAATTGCATACCATGGATACTACAAAATTGCTCATCAGCCTTGTCCATATCAAAAATTGCAGTAGTTCAGCCATATTTAGCCCATTTTCAAAACAAACAAGTTGATCCATCCCAATCATTCCATGGTTTTGAACACCAATTTCCCCACTGCAATGGCAATTTCGAGGTCAATATCGAGGTTTCCTGAAATAGGGGTATCCCTAAATCATCTATTTTAAATATTTTTAAATAGGATTTTCCATTGTAAACCATCCATTTTGGGGTACCCCTATTTATGGAACCCGCCTATATGGTGCCAATGTCCATTCTTCGTTGGTTTCAGCACCTTCCTGCCTGCTCTCCGACCTGTCGCTCTCGCCGTCTTGGACGGCACATTTTTTCGCTCGGCACACGTGACGCCATGAAAAATTGTGGTCCAGCTGAGGGATCCAGGGGGGGGCCGTCCCTGCTGGGTTGAATCCCCAAAACATGTGGTGTCTTGGTTGTTTCTGTGGTGGAACCCATCCTAAACTCCAAGGGGCATAAGGAAAATAAGGGGATTGGGTATCGATTCTGTCTTGTTGAATATGTTTCAAATTGAACAGTCAGGAAAACACAGAAGAGTTTGCGATGTCACGCTGTCACTATAGCTTCTGATTACAGCTTGTGCTCAGAATTCCTCCGAGTGTAACCTTGGAGTGTACCCGCTGGTGCGGCAAAAGGGATCCAACCATGTAAATTGCTATATAGTAATGCCCCAACTTGAACACGTCTCCAAAGGTTTATCATAGTTTATCTATGGTTTATCATCTTCCAAAGCAACTTTTCTTGGTGCTTTGGGGATGTTTGGAGATAAAATCTTCACACTTTGGGGAGCTTGGGCTTCAACGGGGTTTCCCGGAAGTTCGCCGTGGTTGTGAAACTGAGCCAGTTTAGCCACAAGCGATGCAGCGGTACGCGCTGGTTTGCATTCCTCGATGGATAATTAAACATTGGAATACACCGAGTAGTGGGTGGCTCAATCCGCCTGGACAAATATCGTTGGTGATCATTATCCTAGGAAAATAAACCATAAATATTCGGAACATGTTGGAAACATCAACCACAATATGCTTGACGTATCCAAATGGGGATTTACCAATTAGAACGTGGGGAACATTAGCTGATGCCTTCAAATGAGCGAAAAGAAAGCATGGCATTTGTGACGCGGACGATGTTTTTGATGCGTATCATACAAAAGGAATCATGGTGCAAACATGAGAATAATGATTGTATAGAATTATTCTCCCGTGACAACGATGGTGAGATGAAGAAGAAATGATGATGACAATAATGATAACAACTGATGATGATGATGATGATGATGATGATGATTCCGTTAGACACCACATAAGCAGAAACACACACTAGTTCAATAAAAAAATACATGGTTCGATGAACAGATTTGGGGGTACTGCTTTGGTCACGAATCGGACAACTTCCAGATTATGAGCTATCAGAACAATTAAAACAAAACACAGAAACATTTAATAAACACATAACTTGGTGTCTGACACAACATAAAACATACCCGAAACCATTCAGCAGATCCCAGCGCATCAATTCTTGCATACTAATTGGCTTCCCCAGTTAAAAGTTGGTTTAGCTTCACCCAGTCAACTGATGAATCTCCACTAGAAATCCAACCATTGTTGAAGTTGCAAAGCAACAGACCGTACTGCAGGAATCTGCTGAAAATTTCCTCTGGTTTCCTCCCGGGTAAATCAGGTTTTTATCAAGGACTAGGCCCTCAGAGGGATGAAGGAAGGGTATCAAGGTATGGGCACCTGCTTGTAGATCCATAGATTTCCAGCCTTGGCAATAGAATCATGACCGGCTGCACGAAAAATGGGGTAAAACATGGTGGTTCATCCCAGTTAAATGATGTTAAATGTGTTGGTAAGTGAACTATAGCCATCTATAGCACGAGCCACCAGGTATTTCTTCATAACGGATCAAAGCCCTCGGGAACTTCTACATGGCTGCTGATCAGAATTTCCCCCGTGGATTTGAACAGGTCCCCATCTCTGTTGCCGCCCCATGATCCACGACGAATGACTCCACCGGCCCGTCAAGAACCTGGTTTTTTTTGTGGACCAAGGGTTGCATCTTTGACCCACC